AATTGATTTCTGATTAATTTCAATTTTTCATCATAAAAAAATCAAATCTGTTCAACTTTATTACATCATAGAAAATAATCAATAAATGGCAATTTAAATAAAAAAAAATAATAAAATAATCAAACACTGATAAATTAGAACCAATAACAATTATCTAGATATTTTTAAACAATGTTGCGATCTTTTGAAGTCGTTTTTCGTAATTATTTATTTTAATTTTAAATGTTTTGTTTTGAAATCGCGGTTTTCGCTATATAAACAGAAAATTCTAACATTTATGTTATCGCTATGGATAAAAATCAAATCTTATTGTATTCTTGAGTAATAAACTGATTAAAAAATAAAAAAGAGTAGATTTTATGTAAAAATTATGATATTCAGATAATTTTTTCGTAAAAAAAAAAACAGTAATTAATTTTTTTACAATCTGTTAAATATATAACTACTACTGTGTTTTATTCATTTTTTAAATTATACTAATATGTAAATAAAAAGCAAATTTACACAAATAATTACCTATTACCTGTAAAAGGTCTTTGCAAAAACATACCACATATTCCTTAGACCAAAATAAGTCGATTTAAGTAAAATTACCTTAGTACAAAGTTGCTTCGTTTGGGCTCCAGAGGGCCTTGAAGTTACAATTTTTAAATCGTTTTTCCCATATAAATTTTAAACGGCATATGCGATTTTGCTGAAATTTGGTTATTGGTAGAGTTTTATGTGGCAAAAAAATGGTATTAAAATTTTGACCGATAATAATACATAGGCGTAGAACTTGATTTTTTAAATAATTGCACCTTTAAAAATTCTACGCCAATGGAAGAAAAGGAGTTTGAGTATGAAATTTAGATTGCGCAACTCATTTACTTTAAAAAAAGGTACTCTTGATAAGACTCGATTACTCTCATGGTTTTGACGAAATTTGCATTTTAGTAATTTTAGAACATAAACAATAATTATTAAAATACAAACTTTGTCAAAACCATGAGAGTAAATCGAGTGTTATCAAGGGTACTTTTTTGTAGTAAATGAGTACCCAATCCAAATTTCATGCTCAAACCCCTTTTTTGCCATTGGCGTAGAATTTTTAAAGGTGCAATTATTTAAAAAATCAAGTTCTACGCCTATGTATTATTATCGGACAAAATTTCATACGATGAAAAACATAAAAATGTACTTTTTTCATATCTTCTTCAACACCTCTAATCGAGACTTTTAACAAAAATACTCGATTCTTGCCATGTACGATTTTTTGAGGAATATTAATTATTTGCCTGCAATACATATACAAAAACATTTATTGTTGGTTTCCATAGTTTCATCTAAATAAAAATATTGTCAAGTTTTAACACCTAATCTCTTGTTAACGATTGAAAGTGTTCTATCTGACTCAATAATTAAAAAAACAAATGCGTGGTTTATTAATATGGCTGTACAATATACCAATGCAGAATATACCGATATGTTACTGACATTAGGATTTTGTGAAGGAAATGCTCGAGAGTGTCAGGGTGTAAGGATTCCTGAAGTTGAAGAAGACATTTTAGGACGTGTTGAAGAAGATCCAGAACTAAGCACCAGACGAATTGGAAGGGAACTAGGAGTAAGTAAAGATGTCGTTCATAAAGTGCTTAGAGAACAATTGCTATATCCATACCATAAGAAGCCAGTACAAGAATTATTAGTCCATGATCCTCAAATTCGTTTGGGTTTTTGTCGATTTGTTAATATGCAAAGAGAAAGAGATCTAAACTTTGTCAAAAAGGTTCTCTTTACCGATGAAGCGGGTTTTACAAGAAGAGGTATAACTAATACCCATAATGAACATGTTTATGCCATTGAAAATCCGCATGCAATAAAGGTAAACCATTTTCAGCACGAATTCAAAATTAATGTGTGGGCTGGAATAATTGGTAATTTCATTGTTGGTCCTGTCATACTTCCACGAAGATTAACTGGAGAAAATTATTTGGATTTTCTACAAAATACGTTGCCAGAATTGTTAGAAGATTTACCTCTCCAACTTCGGAGAGATATGTGGTTAATGCAAGATGGTGTAGGGACGCCACTGGCTACGTGACGCTCTTACAGAGGGAGTCAACCTTTCAAAATGATTTAACTAAAAAATGGAGTGCTTCTCCATAGAATTCGCAGATCCAATTAAATGTCGATCAAGGAGTCACAACTTCAAGTACATAATAAAATAGGACGGCACTGTTTAGTTATTTACATGCGTTTATTATATACAGTAATAGTTTTATAAATCCAAACTTAGTTACACATACATTTTAAGTTACAAAAATTATTAACGATCACCGGGTTATAAAACAATCATTACCGTTGCACTGGTAAACATGAATTATATATTAAAAATAAAGTTAATATTTAAATTGCGAGAAGTAGCGTGTTTTTTAGATGCTGAGTTAAAACGGAATGGCCGACACCCTGAATCCCTCGTCCGTCGTACCCAAAGCGCGGGAGGGCAAAACTCAAGAGCCATCTGCCCAGATGGTACTAAAGTTACATTAATTCTTAATAAATGTACAAATAAAAGGTTCTGAAATTGTAGAATCGATAATTTGACCACATGCGCCCTCTTCTTTGCTGGGTAGATGTCACCATGAGTAGTGTTTTTTATAAATAAAAATACAAGTTTGAAATGAGTGGGAAAATAATTGTTACTTTGTTCAGGGAATCTGAACAGATGGAGCTCCACCACATTTTTCTTTAAACGTTAGAAACCACTTGAATGAACAATATCCACACAAATGAATAGGCAGAGGTAATGACGCACCTGTAAACTGGCCACCACGTTCTCCAGACCTAACACCGACGGATTACTTTTTATGGGGACATCTGATATCCACAGTTTACAGGGAACCTGTAGAAAATGAGGAACAACTCTGGCAACGTATTCAAGATGCAATAAACAATCTTAGAGGTGATGAAGAAGTTATGGACTTATGGAAAGGATACATATTAATTTTCTTCGACGTATAAATCTTTGTATGCGTGAAAATGGTGAACAATTTTAGTAAAATCTCTATTTTGATTATGTTGTAAATAAATATTTTTGTGAAACCTATACACTCTAAATTATTAAAACAGAAATTTAGCGAAAACCATGAGTAATCGAGTCTTATCGAGAGTACCTTTTTTAAAGTAAATGAGTTGCGCAATCTAAATTTCATACTCAAACTCCTTTTCTTCCATTGGCGTAGAATTTTTAAAGGTGCAATTATTTAAAAAATCAAGTTCTACGCCTATGTATTATTATCGGACAAAATTTTAATACCATTTTTTTGCCACATAAAACTCTACCAATAACCAAATTTCAGCAAAATCGCATATGCCGTTTTAAATTTATATGAGAAAAACGATTTAAAAATTGTAACTTCAAGGCCCTCTGGAGCCCAAACGAAGCAACTTTGTACTAAGGTAATTTTACTTAAATCGACTTATTTTGGTCTAAGGAATATGTGGTATGTTTTTGTAAAGACCTTTTACAGACACCCTAACTCTACCTGATCAATGCAAAAAAGAAATATCTAGAAATCTTTAAAAAATTACTGAAAAATTTTCTTTTGTTTTAAAGTTTGTGTTTATGTATTGTTAATTTTCTTATTGCATGTTTATATAAAATGTATATTAAATAATTTAAATCTAAAAATAACAATGTATATTTGTATTATATGAAATGTTTGTATTTGGTACTCGGTTGAGTGGAACAGCTATGCTAGACTCCGCCGAGGCTTATTAAAATAAAGACGTTTATTATTATTATTTAAATATATATAGCCCATGCACAATTTCGGTTTGTATGGGATTTCCATATATTTCCTTGAAAATATTTACAAAAGAAAGCTTTAGATTCCGAAGAAAAAATTATTTGATATGCCCATAAGGATCACAACTGTCAAAAATTCACATATACTGGCTTCAAACAAAATCTATATTTCATTTGTTTATCTGTGTACCTAATACATTCAATATGCTTGATTCTATTCGGTTATTACTTATTAAACTCTCAACATTAAAATATATTTCGCAAATTTAATCCAGGAGCTTTGAATCATTTATGCATATTCAGTATTGAATTTGAAAAAATACCGCTAGTTTTGGAATTTATTATAAAAACATTTTAATTATAATAAAACCCCAACAAATAAGCAATTCGTTTTTTTTCCTGGGCTGAAGCCTATATTAAGAGGCAATTCGTTAATTTATCCACTATTTATTTTGTACTATTTTGATCCTTATGACTCAAATATCGCTATTTCATCCACAGAAAATGAAAGTACCTACCTAGTAAAAAATTAAAAATACAGAATATTGAAAATATCTCATTTCGATGGGTATTTTAAATTAAACCAAAAACTAAAAGCCTTACAAATTATTCTAATCGTCTTTTATCCATTCATATTTTTTAATTCAAAAATAATAATATAAAAAAGATTAATGGACGAAAAGTTAAATAATAACAAAATAAAAAATAAATATAAATGTGACACTGGCTTTGAGTTCATTTTTATTTATTTATTATAATTTTATGTCTCTATTACATTTGAGTTATTTAGATAGATATTTAGATTACATAACCAAAACAAATGTATGTTAAACACAAACAATTTTAATTACAATTATCTTTTATAAACCTAAAATGAATATGTTTTCGTCATATCTTTTCAGACTACACAGACGTATAGCACAGCAGCTGCCAAGGAAATCACAAATTATCTACGATCTATTTATTAAGGTTATACATCGAATTTTGATAGAAAATGAACAGTGATTTACTCTTAAGAATGTTAGAAGCTACCACTGACTCTCTGGCGGTCAGGGTATGAACCTTTTGATCTATATACATCTTGTAACAGTTGTTAAACAAATCGGTTTTAATTCTCGTACAGGGAACCTGGATCGATTATCTTAAGAGGTTTCACAAGAAGTAGCAAAATAATTATGATTAGAAATAAATAAGATCAAAATATACATACCTAATATCAAAAGTATCCACGATAGGCTGCCTAAAATACTCCTTCACGGCGCAATTTTGCAAGGCGGAAAGATTGACGCCATGAAAGCAAGTTTGAAACCAAAAATTCGCTTTACTATACTGTTCCATGTAAAGGGCATCATCTGTAAAAGGGACGATGTGCAAATCACCCCTGGAGGGGTACATTTTACCGGTGGGCGCCAGCCACCTTTTGGCATTCAAATAAGATTCCAACATCCGTTCATTGTATAGCATGTAACCCATTGGTTCGGATATGATCACATCGACCTTCTCGGGCAATTCGACCTCTTCGATCTTCCCTGGAATCACCTTAATGGAACTAGTAAGATTGTTGGCCTCGACTAATTTTTGTGCATAATGAGCCATGGTGGACGCCTCGACGGCGTAGATGCGCTTCGCGCCCGCCTGGGCCGCGAAAAATGATAAAATGCCCGAACCGGCGCCTACATCTAACACTACTTTGTCTTTGAAATCTTCTAAGTTACACAATATTGCTCTTTGATACGTGTAAGTCCTCACGAAATCCTGAAGCATGGAAAATTAATAACACATTTTACCTACACGTTTTTAGGGATTGTTTGCAAACGTTCACAATATTGGCCAATACATATGAGCTGGTTCAAAAATAAAACAGTACATTAGCGTAGAAGCGTATATCGATTTTGGGTACTGTCAGAGTTTATTCAAATTTAAGTAGTTTCAAAACAGTACAGTGGAGTACCAGAAATAAAATAAATGTTATAACAAACAAGAATTTAAAAACTTGATTTGTATAACTTGCCTTGACGTCCTGCATCCAAGTTGATGGAGACTTTAAGGAAGCAATTAAAATTGACAGCCATAAAGTATATTGCTCGTCCCGATGTGAAAACTTATAAATAAATTAAACAAAAATCTTAAGGGTAAAGAAGACTAAAAAGAAGCAATCGAAGTTTCAAAAACTTAGTAATAGAAGAAGAATCAACATGTGAAGCGAAAATTGCAAAGCAGTCTAAGGAACTTGAGTCTCTCAACTCTAAACTTCAAAATTCACAGTCTGCAATAAATGAATATGACAAAACCATAATGAAAAATGATGAGACAATATTAAAACTGCAACTGGATGTTAATGAGTTGAATATTATAAACAGGAGCATGGTAACTACAATGATGATGTCAGAGGCTGAAAACACTGATTATGAAAAAACCATTAGCATGCTTAAAATTGAAAACGAAAACTTTATGGTTGTAAGTAAAAAGTTAACTGAATTAAAAAGTTTTAAATTTTGCATTGGAGGAAAACCATAGAAATATGACTGATCACCTTACTCAATTAAAAAATAAGAACATTAAGCTGATAAAAGATATTGAAAACTTAGCAAAAGACAATATAATGTACCTAAACCCCAATTAAAAAGTTTACAAATTTGACATCAAGAATAAAAGTATTTAAAAGTGACACCATTGAACTAAATAATGCCAAGAAACAGAAAAAGATTATGATATTATCAGACGAAAATGGAAGAGGTTTAGACAGGGAATTAAGAAAGTGTTTTTACGGATAAAGAGCATCAAATTATATTTTAAAACCAGGAGCAGAATTTAATAGAATACTGGAAGATATTGGAAATCTTACTAAAAACTTTAACTGAGATGATTATATAGTTATTATGGCAGGAAAAAATGACAAAAAATACGTATCCTAGCATTAAGAATATTAGTTATAAATTAAAACTATTATTAAAAAAATAATTAATTTTAATTCTAAATTATCAGGTTTTACAAGTTATATAAACTGGAATCAAAAACTCCTTCTCTTTTTTAAATGTTAATGATAAGAATGGTTATAGATTGAATAAGAAATTAGCATTTTTGCTTAAAAATAAAATATGCTCAGTAAAGAGCAGAAATGATTTAGTATTTGTTGAAACTGTTAAATGAAACTGCTTGTACAGATGGAAATGCTTTTTCATCAAATAACAATGAAAATATTATCATTTTAAGTGATATAACAATCCCTAATGGTACAGAAAATATTCATCAAATCATAGAAGATTGTAATAATTTTTTCTAAATAACAGTGATGAAAAAATAAATACTGATAATAACGAAAATATGGATTTTCCATCCAACAAAAACATTATTCACATTACTTAAACAGAGAGAACAGTAAAACTAAACTCTTATCTAGAAAAAAACAAAAAAAAAAACCTATGCCTGTTTCATTTTGTCACTTAATGTTCAAAGTTTAATATGTAATTTTGATGAAATTTCAGCTTTAGTTACATCAAAATAGCCATTACTAATGTGCCTTTCTACTGATGAAATATTCGATTCAGAAATTACTATAAATGGTTATAATAGCACACGGGTTGAGCTTTAATCTACATAAGTAATCAATTAAAGGTTTTGAGTTATAAAAAATTTTGCACACAAAAAAATATTGGATAATACTATTTGAAAACAGTATTTACTTAGTTGTTAGTTTATACAGATCCCCTAGTAGTCCTTGTAAATAATTTTTAGACTTTTTTTTGAATATTTTACAGATGACTTTTTATGTGATTATAATTTTAATATAATTGTAACAGGTGATTTTAACACTGACTTGATGCATGACATACACATTAAAAAATTGTATTACTAACATTGGTTTGAAAAATATTGTTTAAACCACAATTAATTAAAAGTAGAGGTACAATTATTGATTTTGATACTATTAATGAAAAATTATCTAGGGTTGTATGGGATTACAAGATTAATGACAAATATAAGGATTTTTATGAAAAAGTAGATAATGGTGGTTTTAAATGAGGTGGTACCAAAGGGGGCTTAAGACTTTTCAAAAATTTAGAGTTTGGTGTATACTGAAACTAAAGATAAGGGATAAGGCATATAAAAATGTATCAAACAAAACAGAACAAAATAAAGAATCATATAAACAAAAACGTACTATGGCTGTTAGAAATGAAAAGAGAAAATATTAGAGGCTTATGGAAAATAAAAATAATTATGTTAAATTATGTAATATCAATTACTAAGTTAATTACGCAAAAGAAATATGATATTAACTGCCAATGATCGGAAGGAATATTATTTGAAGATCGTATTAAAGAACATCAAAAAGTGTTCCAACAAAGATGATGTTATACTTTTTACTGGAGTAAAAAATTCTCTAAAAGGACAACCAATTAGTTCTGCGTATATCCAATCTCTAATGCAATACTCTAATAATACTAACCGGTTTATATGTGGTCCCCCTCTACAAAGTGGCCGTTTCGTCCTAAATAAAATAATCCAAGATTATGATCTTAAATTTCAGGCTGCTATTCGTAAGTTCCACCATTCTTACTTTTTACCATCGAGAGTTATTGCTAAATACGGTCCACTATCTTTTCGCGATAAAGAAGATCTTGTGCAACTCATATCTCAGTAATGAAGGTACATTCACAAGGTACAAACAATTGTTGAGGTTTTTCAGTCAGGTCAAGAAAAAACTCAGAATATATAATGTCAAATATAAGTACCAGTAACAAAACAAAAAATAATATTCCTACAGTAAACTTGAAAAACTTGTAAGCTCTTTTGAAATTCAACGAATCTATATACAGTGTGTCTACTTAAGTTGGAACCATTTTGAAAACATTTTTATTATTGATTTTAGGAAAAAAAGTTATTCTTGATAAAAAGTCCTGCATGACCCAAAACCTAAAATACAGTCATCACATATCAAATTTTTCAAGCCGTATACGAGGTTTGTCAAAAAATATGAATTTTGCTCAAGAGTAAAGTACGTTTATTTTTGACAAAATCGAAAATTTTCATTAAGAAAAGTTGATTAGAATTGAATATTACATTCAAATATGCAATTACACCGATCTATCTGAAAAAACTGATTTTCTTATTTTTTATAAACTCTACACTCTACATATTGTTTGTAAATATCTGAAAACGTTATAAATTACGTTAGCTACTATAAACATGATACGCTTTCCTTTTGTTGATGTTTGTGAAGAATTTAGCAAATTTAATAAACAATTAATAAAAATTAAGAAAACTTAAATAAAAATTATTTAAAATTAATAAAAATAATTAAAAATTATTAAACATTAATAGAAATGAATAAAAACGAATAAAAATGAATAAAAATGAATAAAAATGAATAGAAATGAATAAAAATGAGTAAAAATAAATAAAAATTAATAAATATAAAAAAAATGAATGAAAATTAATAAAACTAATAAAAATTAATAAAAAAGGAAGTCATGTATTTTTTTTATATTAATAACACGACTACGTGCGAGAAAAGTCGCAGGGAACAGCTAGTTAAAAATAAAAATTATTGTAGTGAATAGTCAGTCCATTATTAACAAAACAAACCGAATAGAAATAATCCTAAACCATGATAAGCCAGACATATTCTGTGTATCTGAATGCTGGTGTTCAGAGATGCAAGTTCTTCTATTAATTTTGGAGGCTACATCATTGGTGACTATTTTTATATGACTGTTAAGATTCGTGGAGGAACTATTATATATGTTAAACATTCATTGCCAGTCAAGAAAATCAATTCGTTAAAAAATATCTCTTAATAAGAACATTTTGAATGTAGTGGCATTTCATTTATTTTGAATAATGTAAAGTTTTATTTACTTAATGTTTACAAATCATCTAATGGAGATGTAGAATTGTTTCTAAGCAAACTTTCTAGTGTGTTAAATAAGATCTCAAATCCCAATGATATTTTAATTGTTTGTGGAGATTTTAATATTAATTTTATAACTAACTTGTGTTGTCAAAATATGGAACCCACTAGAGTAGCTATTGATAAAAATAGTCGCATTACTAGATCCAAAATTGACTACTTCCTGACTAATTCTTCCTACTCTTATCGGGAATCTCGGCGATCATTTTGGTCTTTTTAAAGAGTTTGATCATATTCTGCAAGAGCACATTGTGAATAACAAGAAAAAAACATCATTTAGAAACCTTTCTTATGCCAACCTGCATAACCTGTCATTCGAATCGGCTAAGGAGGATTTCCAAATAATTTAGGAATCACCTAATGATATTGATCAAACTTTTATAAACTTTCTAAATATTATTCTTTATTATTTAAACTTAACATGTCCTATTATAACAAAGAATATTAATGACAAGGACTCCTCTAATAAATGGATAAATGAGGAGATTCTATGGATAGGAGATGATTTAAAAGCGATTTTAAAACAATCTGTCCATCAACTGCCTTAGGTAAATTTCCAACATCTAAAAATGGGGGTAGTAACACCATTCTTAAGAAAAGGAAACCAAAAATTACTTGAAAATTATAGGCCAATTACTGTTCCTACTGCATTTTGTAAGGTTTTCGAGAAATGTGTATACAAACACATGTTGTCGTTTTTATTAAAATATAAGATCACCAACATGGTTTTCTTCCAGATAGGTCAACTGAGAGTGCCACTATGGGCTTTTTCAATTACATATATGGTCAGTTGGATAAAAAGAGATTTGTGGGGGTGCTCTTTTTTGATCTCTCCAAAGCTTTTAACTGTACTGATCTGAATATAATTGAAAATAAATTATTTGCTTTGAGTTTCAGAGGGGATTTTCTAACGTGGCTATCTTCATATCTCAACATGAGGAAAATTTGTGTTAACATTGAAGACTACCGATCTACATTTAAAGATATTGATCGTGGTGTCCCTCAGGGGTCAATTCTAGGCCCACTAATTTTCTTTTTATATATAAATGATCTTTCATCACAGATAAAAGCAGATTATACTGTTATGTATGCTGATGATACCAGCTTCTCTTAAAACTTAATAATTTAGCATATCAATTTACTGTATGGTGCAAAAGAAATTCCTTAATATTAAATTCTAGCAAAACTGTTATGCAATTTTTTTTTTCTAGAAATAGGATAACTGATAATATAAGTGTAAAAGTTTTATCAGAGGACAGTTCTTTCTCTCATATAACTAAGTTCCTAGGAGTTATGATTGACAGCAATATGAATTGGGATTCAATTGTCAATTTTATCTGTAAAAAGTTAAACAGCGCTTACTATGCAATCCTACAGCCAAAAAATATTTTCAATACTAATCAACTTCTTCAGGTATACTAAGCTCTTGTTTATTCTTATCTCCCTTATAACGTTATCCTATGGGGAAATTGCACAAATGCTTTAAGAGTTTTTATTAATCAAAAACGAATTATTAGACTAATTTTCAATTTAGAAACAAGAACTACATGTAGAGATCATTTTAAAAAATATAATATACTCACATTCCCAGCCATATAAATTTTTAAAACCATTCTGTATGTTAAAAAAAATCATTCATCATTTTCTAAAAATCAAGATAATCATAATTACCCCACTCGAAATAATGAAGCAATTCGTATTCCAAAACATTCATCAGCTCTTTTTAATCATCTTCCATCCTCGATTAAAACAACCATCCCCTATAATATTTTTAAAATAAAATTAAAAACTGTTTAATAGATAATTGTGTGTACAGTATAGATGAGTACCTACCTCAATAATGCTATGTTGTTTATACCTGATTTATTTTAGTTTTAGTTATAGTTTTATTTATATACCTGACATCCTATATCATGTACTATAATCTAAAAGGACAAATAAAGATTTATTATTATTATTAATATTATTATATAATAAATGAACTGTTAGACATAATTGAAATGACAGATGCACTTAACACATATTATATTGATAATATAATTGATTTAAGTAGTATCTAATATAAATCAAAATGTTAATGATTTTTCCATTATTGTTAAAAATGATAGTCTTTAAACAGTTTAATCTTGTTAGTTTTGATATTTTAAAGGAAATTGTTTTTGATATGTCTAGATGAAATTAATGTTTTTAAAAAACTGTATTTTATCAAAATAACAAAAAAAAAGAATTAGGTGTACCTCAGGGAAGCGTATTGGGCCCATTATTGTTTCTTCTATATACTAATGATGTCATTGAAGTAGTAGTAGACCTTATGTTGTTTTTTAACATTCATGCAAACTATATGGTTAAAACAGTAGCATTTAAAATCAACTAATTGTACTGGTGCTCAAAATATCTTAATAAATTGTCATCAATTCTTTTATATAATAGTGTAATTTTGCCTCATTTCACTTATTGTGCCACCATTATGTATTTACTTAATCAAAATGAAACCAACAGACTTCATAAATTACAAAATTCACAATGGCTTTCTGTTAAAAACTATTTTCTCTACTTAACTTTGGGTAGATAATGTGTCAATATTTGGAAAAAATAAACCTTGGTGAATAATAAAAAATATTTCAAAAACATTGACAGACAATGAATGCGAAGGAGAAGAATAATTAAAACTATTTCAAATTCGACATAACATCAGCTTTAGATCACCTGATGCACAATCTAAGCCCTACAACTAGTCTTTTTAAGATGTGATGTACAGTTTTGGAAAAAACACTTTTATCCCAAACCAAATTTTCAATAATTGTGATGAAACGGTGTAGTTATTTTTGTCTCTCTCATACTCATTATGTAGAAAATAAATGCTTAACATTTTCATGTCTTTTGTTTAGAACCCTAATTTTGCATATAAAGAACCCTGTTCCAGTAAACAACATGGGGTGGTTGCTTACTGGGAAAATGGTGTATAGTGATCCAATTTTTTTCCTTTCATTATGTCAGAATTTGTAAAATCAGTGCACTTAATAATAACCAAGAGTTGTTAAAGCATTTAGTCCCTGAATTGGGGTTTAAAATCATGATAATAATAATAAAAACAACCATAATTATATCATTACTGTCAGAAAGTTGATAATAGAGACTATACAATATGTTAGTGTTCTACAATTACTCCAGAAGAATGGTACCTACAAAATAAGCTATAAGAATAATGGTACTAGTGGTAGAAGTGTATCCATCTGTCCAATCAAGACAGACAGTAACCCGATTCATGACAGCCTCTCTTTATTTAACTTACATACAAATATAATTAGGAATCTCATCTTTATTTCCAAGCATCCATGAGGTAACACATTGTAGACTTTAAAAACACATTATAATGTTTAAAAGAGGCTTACAAATAATTCAAAAATAATTGAAATAAGTTTCTGATGAGTACTTATGACCAAAAGTCAAAAATAAACCATCATATATGAGCCTTACAACACTGTGCAAGTTGTTGAAGAATTTGGTTCCAAGATTATAAGGGTTAAGATTATGAAAAAATTAACAACATGAAAGTTCTTAAAGCAGCAGGCCTGGTACCTACACATTTCAAACAGTGGAGTTTCACAAAAAACTATATATTATTTATCTCTGATATGAGTGGTTCAGTGCCATATTTGCTTTAACAATTTATCAGAAGTGAATAAATAGAGATCAAAGCACTTTACCTGTACCTACTAGACGTACATGTCTAATCTTTAGGTATAGATGGTGGTACCAAAACAAATAATTTTAATAGCCAATGTTGGCATGTACAGAAATGATTTTAAAATAATAATATAAGAAGACAATTTATTTTGAAATAAATAAATGCGAGAAAAGAAGATGAAATACTTTAGCTGTACCTACTAGACTTAACTGCCTACTCTTTAGAAATAGATAGTAATAATGGCACCAAAAATGAATATTTTTTTAAAAAATAGGCAAATTTGGCAGGCACAGAAATTATTTTAAAACATTAATATTCAAAGACCAGTTATTTTGAAATTTTGTTGGTCAGGAAACTCTGGCACCGAACCACTTATATGCTGTCTGTATAGATCAGTCTAAATAGTTACATATTGTTATTTTATACATTTGAAATGAGCAAACACATGTAAATAATGAAAAATATAGGAAAAAAATTGTAGAAATAAAAAATAGTAACAAAGGTTAAATAATATTAAAAATTCTATAAAAACAAAGAAAGGTAAAAAATGTAATCATTGTTTTGATCTATCAACATACAAGGGCAGTAATCAGTAAAGCTCAGGTAAAACTGTAGTTGATAGATCAGTATTAACCACTACATATGGATTGGCCATAATAAAATACTGTGAACATTTATAATTGTTGAAATAACTTCACATTTACCTGAAGCATATTCTGTTGTTGTGATAAATAACCGTAAAATTGAAAATACTGTGCTGCAGATGAGTCTTCCGTCCGTACAGAAAATATAGAAGCATCCTTGCCAGATTTAATTTTCGTTATTGCTATAGTAAAATACCTAGCTTCGTCCCTATTGCTAAATTTTATTAGTATAGTATCGTTTTCAATTGCAAATAAATAAGAAGTTGTACCCACTTTACAACAATCTGTATCAGCATCTACGGGAAATTCTAACAGTTGATTGGATTCATCCATTTCTAATAGTTTTAAATTGATACCCTGCGGGTCGTATTCCGCTCTCAATTTCACTTTCCTATTATATTTGGGTACCATTAAGTTGTCTTCTACCGAAAATACTTCAACTATCCACACTTTAAGCGCCATTTCAAACGTTACAGAGGTTAGCCGATCACAGTAATTTAAACGAGGCTTAAGTAGATTAATTAATATATTGTTTTCGGCACTTAGTGACCGCTAAAGTCAAGTATTCAACAAAAACCTTTGTAAATTTTCATTAATTCAAAAATATTATTTATCCCCAAAACAGACATCGAGACATCGCTCGGTAGATGCACAAAAACATTTTTTTTATTTTAAAACAATGCTGCCACTCAACTGTCAAACCACCAAACCATTTAATTACCCTGCAGGGCAGCCAATCTACTTACATAGACCTTCTACAGCTAGACGAATAAATAAATAAAGGAGGCCTTCCACAGTATGTTCTTTTTATTTAGGACCGATTCCACCGTTGTGTTAAACGAAGTTTAAAATGACATTTTACATTAACAATGTCATCCGTTTAACACAACGGTGGAATCGGCCCTTAGTCTTTGATATTAACTACGTTCAAATACAAAAATAAGTGCATAAAATAAAAACATTACCTATTTAAAATAAAATAAAAGTTAAACAATAAAAACGGTTGTTCTGGCGCTAATATTCCCAGAACGGTATATCCATATAGTTTATAAATGCAGAAAATTGCAATAATTTTTATAGAAATAAAAAACCATAGTTGTAATGTTGTAATATATCTACCCAGGTTTTATACTTCATTTCTAATATCTACTTTTTATCCGCGTCTTTTAGAATTTAAAAATATATTGTTCGTTCAAGCAGGTAATAAAATAATGACATTTGTACAGTGTCGGATATCGAACGCTTTCCAATGCTTTTGCTCAAGTGTATGTGAAAACTACAGAGAATTATCATTAGCGCGAGCAGGACACGAATATTATCAGCATTGCCAGTTTATACGTTTATACATTATTACAATGTTGGCATCGTTGATATTATTCGTTTCCAGTTCGAGCTAATATTATAACTATTTGTAGTTTTCATATGTAAGCTTCAAAACAAAATTTAATATACATTTCTAGTTTGGTTATAGGGGTCTTTGTATAAATATTAAAAACGGTATTCTTAAAAATTATTTATAATATAAATAATGTAGGAACCCAACATTTTAAAAATCTATACAAGATATTTTACATAAACATTGAAAGTAAAATAAATGAAATGTAAAAGAAAGGACATGCAACTAATAATACACTAATGTCAAATAGGTTGCCTATATATTAGGGTTCAATAATGATTAAAGTAATAAATTATCCACCCGTTTAAAGTTAATTCAAATAAAATTTAATGAAACATACTGTTATTAAAAAAAATGCTCTGTACTTAAATAAGAATATTTCTAAATTGTATCTTTTCTGCGTAATTTTGAATTAGTTTGGCGGTAAAATTCAAACTAGCGTTTTCAACCCCTTTGTAAACTTTCCCCTTCTCCAACCCTAGCACATTCAATAAATTACAAGGGGTGATGTAAATTGTAAAAGGGTGGTGAATTTTTCTTGAAAAGAAGACTGAAGGAAAACAGTTTATCCAAATATATTAATGTCAAAGTAAAAAGTAACATGGTGAGATGTTTTGTAAATATTAATGCTTTGAAATATTTACAGCTTTCAATCTATAAGCATGCACATGTTCTTAATTTTTTTAAAATAAGCTTTGATTTAATAATTTCGAAATAAAAGTTTGTTTCCTATGGAGTAGTGTTGGATGTGATAAAATAGTATAGAATAAGAAGCATAATTTGCGAAATATAATAATTTTAATGGTCTCATAAATATTTAAAATTGGAAGTGGCTAATAGTCCACAAAGCCGGTGCCGGTTGTTTGAGATATTTACTAAACATTTATCACAAGATTTTATAATTATTTTACAACGTTGCCACTTTTCCAAATTAACCACTGTAATTAATCTTTAATTTTTAACATCCACTTTTCTAATTTTTTCCCTTGAATGCAATTTTGTTATCGTTTTTTTTTTTGTCTACAGTGTGTCTCAAAAAATATTCAAATGCAGAGCTGTATTTTAGGGACTTTTCTACTGGAAAGAGTGAATTGCGAGTTTAATCATTGAATTAAGCATGTTTAAAATTGTGATTAAAAATCATATTTCCACATTTTTAGACCGATAATGAACTTTCCATCATTCGGAGGCCATTTTGCAACAGCTCTGCCGACTATTCACCAGTTTGCTGCGAAATTTTCTCAAGGCAATACATCGACGAGCCTGTGCCCCCCTCAAGACACTAATCAACGCTATTCTGCCAATGGAATACCGTCTTTCACACAGCATCATCATGCTAATCCACAACAAATGCTGTCAACTGTCAATACTAAGGAGCTACGACAGTGTCAGGTAAATTTTAGACTATATTCAACATTTATATTTTATGTTCCAATCTTCTGAATTTTTTAGAATAATTACATAAACCAAACATTGTATACGCAAAACAATAATGGACAAGAAAAACGCCAACATTTTGAACCCCAAGAGCTGGCACAAGAATTATGTGCTGCTATGTTGCAACAAAGTCAGCAACAACAAGAAAAACTTAAAGAAAAGGTATGCATACATGGATCTTATAAGTACAATCTTAACTTTCTAATGTATTTTAGACAAAATTACAAGAGCATCGATCACTGCCTTCAACACAAACCCAACAACGCATCATCCAACAACCTCAAACCAATCAGAGTGACAGAAACGACATTTCGAACAATCAAGCATCAACCACAATGTCATCGGCATGGCAAACATTGACATCTCCTGCTTCAACTGTGGCTAATTATTTATCCCATTTGCCAGCATCATCCCTACCTTTGAGCATCCACCATTTTCTAAAATACTCCACGGAAAACCTCAATTTGAAAAAAGAAAACATCCTGCTTCCTACCAATTCTGCGAAAATAAACGAAAACATTCAACATTTGAACTTGCAAAACAACTCTGATGGGCTGCTGCAAAACTTGAATCTCAACGCTACCTCCAATTTTGGAACTAACGTGAACAGTTTGAGCGCCACTGGTTTAAGCTTGAACAGCTTGAACAACGCACAAGTGCAGACCAACGTGGTGGCGAAAAAGAAGAAGAAAAAAGTGGAGAAAGAGAAGAAACCGAGACCTAAACCGGGTAAGTTTGAAACTAAAAAAAAAAAAATAAAATAAAAAAAAAAATATTTGCACCATCTTCTCTTATAACAAATATCATAGCCAAATATGGAGTCGTCTGACTGAGAATTCAAATCACTGAACACATTTTGATCAGGAGACTCTGGGTTTAAATTAAAATTCTTCTGGTCATTAACTCAATTCAAATGTCATTAAACGTCATCAAATATTAAATGTCGTTATGTCACAGATATAGCTGCCTATGATGGTGGGTGGGGTTTTCCTCACCTGTAAGTCAAATGGCACCATCTATCATCTTTAAGACGCCCCGGAGCGCCACGGCAAATAATAATAATAATAGCCGTCCCTTTCCCCGGACAAGCTCAGCTTTTGGGGTTAAAATTCACTCGTAAGGGGGTGAATTAGGGAGAGTATTATTATTATTATTTTATGTATCAGTTACCACTCCTGATGTTAGAACACAATGCAATAATAGTGTAGTAAGACCATGAAATTAAACCGCAAAATTAATTTTTAAAATCAATCCCATAAAATAAATCCCACCTAAAATCAATCCCACCTAAACTCAATCCCACCTAAAATCAATGCCGCATAGAATTAATACCACAAAATCAATCCCATATAAAATAAAGCTAACACAAAATGAATCCCACATAAAAGCGAACCCATATAAATGCAATCCACATAAAATCAATCCCATCTAAAATTAATATTATGTGGGACATTAGCAGTGAATATTTAATTGTTTTGTTTAATATTCTTTTAAATTATTTCCTTTTTCCACAAAAAATCGATCCTATTTGAAATTAATCCCACATAAAATAAATGTCACATAAAATCAATTCCAAATTAAATCAATCCCACATAAAATTTATCACAAATAAATGCAATATCACATAAATTCAATTGCACAAATAAACAATTTAAGGTGGGATAACAGCAATGAATATGTAATTGTATTAATATTTTTATTAAACACGCATTTTTTTTACAAAAAATAAATTCTTTATAAAATCAATCTCATATAAAAGCAATCCCGCATAAAATTATTTCAATTTCAAATCAATCCCACATAAAATGAAACACATATAAAGCAATCCCACATAAAATTATAATTACATATATAGCGATCCCACATAAAAGCAATCCAACAAAATCAAATCCACATTAAAATAATTCCATATGAAATAAATCCCACATAAAATTAATCACGTAAAAGCAACCCACATAAAATTAATGTTGAATTATTTTCATGTGGGATAGCATCAGTGAATAATTGTGTTAATATTTTTATTAGACTCTCTTCTTTTTGCCATAAAAAAATCAATCCTATATAAAATTAATCCCACATAAAATTATTTACATGTAAAATTAATTGTATTTTGGATAACATTAGCAGTGAATCGACGCACCCATTAAAATGAAGGTGGGACGCTTAATTGTAATTAGATGCAAGAGAATTAAGAAAGTAGCTCCCTGACTAGCTGTGTCAATAGTATCGTTTTTCTATACTGTTCCATGTAAAATCAATACCAAATAAAGTCAATTCTACATTAAAGCGATCCCGCATAAAATAAATCCCATAACAAATTATTCACAAGCAAAATTAATCCCGCATAAAATCAATTGCATATAAAATTAATTTTGTGAGATAACAGCAGTGAATATATAGTTAGATATGTTATTATTATTATTTATATCAAACACCCTCCTATTTCCACAAAAAAATTATTCTATATAAAATAAATCCTACACATTAAGTCAATTGCATGTAAAATCAATCCCACATAAAGTCAATTATATATTAAAGCGATCCCGCATAAAATAATCGATCCCATAAAAAATTATTCACACGCAAAAGTAATCCCGCATAAGGTCAATTTCATGTAAAATAAATTCCATATAACAGTAATTCTGCATAAAATTAATGTTACATAATATGTCTTACCAAAACGTATTTTGAAAAGAGCCCCACATTCTTTTAGGTGAGATCCGCTTGACGACAGCTCTGGACGGATCCACGCTCTACTGTTGTCCCGAATGCCACATGGCTTATCCAGAAAAAGAACTTCTGGAGCAGCATCTAGTAGGCCACACTCTGGAACGACGATTTGTATGTGACATATGTGGAGCCGGATTGAAAAGAAAGGATCACCTGACGAGGCACAAGCAGTCCCACAATCCAGAAAGACCCTATGTGTGTACTGTATGCCTGAAGGCATTCAAGCGCAAGGAACAACTCACTTTACATTTCGTTATACATTCGGGGGAGAAGCGACATCTTTGCCCCGAGTGCGGCAAAGGGTTTTATAGGAAGGATCATCTGAGGAAGCACACTAGGTCGCATATTGCGAGAAGGGTGAAGGCGGAACTATCACAACAAAGTAAGTAGACTTTTTTCTAGTTAGGGTTCCTACAGTCTAAGTTGTTGGTAACATTTGAGTAGTGGTACAAGCTCCAACTTAATATCGATTATTAAAATCGAGTAGATAGTATCGCTCGATTGTACATTTTGTCGTTTTTAGGTACAACTACGTCACAGGCATTGCATCTTCAAGTGCCCGCAGCGACTGCTTCTAATACTATGAGTATATCTTCCTGTATTCTTCCTTAAAACGACGCGCAAAGATATTTTTTACACTAGTTGGCAAATTTTTGCGAAATGTAACTATTTTTTTTTGAAGAGAACCAAAATCCGAACTTTAAACAAAAATTTCGTAAATTTTATCGAAATAGACGTATACGGGGTAACCTAACACTTTTGGGATAACCCTGTAGACAGCATCCTCGGTCGAAAATTCTAGTACTAGATGTGATGGATAAAAAAATAATAACCAAGTTGGCGTGGTAATTTTTGGCTGTGATATTTTTTTAATTTACCAAAGTAGAATTTTGATCTGCTTTAAGTAGATCGTAGATTTTAGATGTTTCTGAAAAGAAATTAAAAAAAAATAAAATCAAAAATGAAATTCAAAATTTTATAATATACCGACGTTTTTAATTTTTTGATCTGTCAAATGTCAATGTAATTGAGGGAGTGGATCGATTTTTAACCGAATGGGATGGATTAATCGATTTTGTTTGTTACGTGCAGGGCTGGTTACGTGCATGTTTCTGGAGATGACAAAATTTAATGTTTTGTGAGTTGATTCAAAATGTTCAGATATTTAAAAAACCATTTACACACAAATTTGGTTCGATTTACTTCCACATTGAGGTTTGATAAGGCAAAATCGAAATATTCAAGTCAGCATTTTCGGTTATATGCCATATACTAGAATTACTAGTACTAGAATTAGTATAAGAGAAAAAAAAGCAGAGTATAAGTACACTTAGTATTATTATTATATGATATGACGCCCTAGTCATTTTGAGGCTACCTCATACTCGTTATTGTGATAAATTTCAAAAGCAGAACATAAAAAAAACATACTCTGTAAGGCGTTTCTTTCGTATATTCTATTGTATTGTGGTACAAAAAAAAAGATTTGCTTTAATATAATAAATAGTACAAAGTACGTTGTGTCATCTTGCACAAAATATTTATTTTTCTTTTAAGTAATATTAAACAGTATTATTTTTCTTTAATTTAAGCCATATAAATTCAATCCCACATAAAATCAATCCAGAGTTGGGTAGTATTCGAATACCCGGTATTCTGAATCTTATTCAGAATACATTTGGCCGGAATTCGAATACTATTCGAATACATTTGTGTTTTCTGTATTCGGTATTCGACTAAATACTTTTTTAGTCAGTACTCGGTATTTTGGATTCAGAATACCATTTTTGAATCCTAGTATTCGAATATCCACTTTGTATTCGAATCCCGGTATTCGAATCCTGTTTTCGAATACTGTTTGATTATTTCTATGAATATTGCGTTACGTGCAATTTTCAAAAATTTTGTAAGAGTCCTTTTTTATGTATATTCAAAAAAGACATCTTTTAAAATTAGTTTTCGAAAATTGCAATTGGAGTTATGGTCCGAGGCGTATCTCGTGGGACACCCTGTATAAGTAAGTAGGTTGTAGGGTATAGGTTATAGGTAACGGGAATTGTTTATTTTTTATTAAACAATAAGTTTGTGTTTTTATCTGACGGTGTACCAAAGAATTTTATTTTAACTTTTTCATTATTTTATCGTTTTATTTATAATTTTTTAATAAAACTTTAAGAAATAAAAATCAACAAATGTTTTTTATTAAACAGTTATTTTATTTAACCTCACTGTGACACTGTGTATCAAAAAATGATATTTCAAGTTTTATTTAACATAGATTTTTAATTCTTTTTATATTTTTATAAATTAACATAAATAATAATCAAGCTTTTTATGTGCGCACATGTTATTTGTAGTTGGAATATTCATAAAGTATTCATATGTAAATGAATCCAGGTATTCGAATAAAGCGGTATTCAAATACGTTTTTTTTTCTTTGTATTCGAATATTGATTATTCGAATACAATTTAGAATACAGTATTCAGGATTCGTATTCGAATACCGGATTTCAGTATTCGACCCAACTCTGAATCAATCCCATGTAAAATTAAGCTAATTTAAAATCAATCCCGCATAACATTGATCTGACATAAAATTATTCACACAAAATTAATATCACTTAAAACCAATCCCACATAAAATCAATCCCTTAGTTCCGATTCCACCGTTGTGTTAAACGGAGATTAAAATGTAATTTTTCACTTCATTTAACACAACAGTGGAATCGATATTTTTAAAATAAATCCCACATAAATTTAATCCAGCATAAAATTAATCCCGCATAAAATCAATCTCACATAAAACCAATCTCATACAAAAGCAGTCATATAAAATTAATCAATCCTGCATAAAACCAATCTCATATAAAATCAGTCGCATAAAATTAATCTTATATAAAATCCATTCCACGTAAAATCAATCCCACATAAAATCAGTACCACATAAAATTAATCCCACATAAAATCAACCAATAAACATTCTTTAAACCTTTTAATAGGCAATCTACCTAAAAGTAATCATGCTTAGTTTTAAGATATTAGGGTCTATTCTGTAACAATTCCTTTATATTTAACGGCCTTTAAAAATATTTTATTCTTTACTTCTGTCATTATTTAAACGGATCTTTAAAATACATTAGAGGACCATCTTAAAGAAATCTGTTTAAATAATGACATAAGTAAATTAACGAATACGAACATATGTTTAAAGGCCGACAATATTTTTAAAGGCCGTTAAATATAAAGGAATTTTTACAGAATAGACCCCATTGACCGTCATTTATAATTTTTCAAGCTATATTGGTTTTGAGTCGTCACTTTAAACATATTTTTTTCTACTACCCACTATAAGTTTCGTAACTGTGACATTAAAATCAAGTTTTAAAACATTTACCGACATTTATCATTTTCAAGCTATATTAGTTTCAAGCAGACTCTTTAAACTTATTTTTTCTACGGCCCACAATAAATTTTGTAACTGTGGCATCAAAATCAAGTCATTATTTTCAAGCTATACTGGTTTCGAGCAGACTCTTTAAACATATTTTTTTACGACCCACTATGAGTTTCGTAAATTCATCAAAATCAAGTTTTAAGACATTGACCGAAAATAATTTTCAAGGTATACGACACTTTAACGAATTTCGTAACTGTGGCATCAAAATCAAGTTTTATAACATTGAGATTTATCATTTTCAAGTTATATATTGGTTTTCAGCACTCTTTAAACATATTTTTTTTACGACCCACTATGAATTTTGTAACTGTGGCATCAAAATGAAGTTTAAAGACATTGACCGTCATTTATCATTTTCAACCTACATATGAATTTTAAGCATACTCTTTAAACATATTTTTTCTACAACTCACTATAAATTTCGTAACTATGGCATCAACATCAAGTTTGAAGACATTGATTGTCATTATCATTTTCAGGGTACATATATTGATTTTGAGCAGACTCTTTAAAGATATTTTTTCTACGACCCACTATGAATTTCGGAACTGACACCAAAATTAAGTTTTAAGACATTGACCGACATTTATCATTTTCAAACTGTGTATTGGTTTTGAGCATATTTTTTCTACGACCCCCTATGATTTTTGTAATTGTGGCATCAAAATCAAGTTTCAAGACGTTGGCCGTCATTTATCATTTTCAAGCTGTATTGGTTTTGAGAAGACTCTTTAAACATATTTTTTCTACGACTCACTATAAGTTTTGTAACTATGGCATCAAAATCACGTTCTAAGATGTTGACCCCTATTTATCATTTTCAAGCTGTAATGGTTTTGAGCAGACTCTTTAAACATATTTTTTCCACGACTCACTATAAATTTTGTAACTGTGGCATCAAAATCAAATTTTAAGACATTGATTGTCATTTATCATTTTCAGGATACACATATTGATTTTGAGCAGACTCTTTAAAGATATTTTTTCTACGACCCACTATGAATTTCGGAACTGACACCAAAATTAAGTTTTATGACATTGACCGACCTTTATCATTTTCAAACTGTGTATTAGTTTTGAGCATATTTTTTCTACGACCCACTATGATTTTTGTAATTGTGGCATCAAAATCAAGTTTCAAGACGTTGACCGTCATTTATCATTTTCAAGCTGTATTGGTTTTGGGAAGACTCTTTAAACATATTTTTTCTACGACTCACTATAAGTTTTGTAACTATGGCATTAAAATCAAGTTTTAAGACATTGATTGTCATTTATCATTTTCAGGGTACACATATTGATTTTGAGCAGACTCTTTAAAGATATTTTTTCTACGACCCACGATGAATTTCGGAACTGACACCAAAATTAAGTTTTATGACATTGACCGACCTTTATCATTTTCAAACTGTGTATTGGTTTTGAGCAGTCTTTAAAAATATTTTTTCTACGACCCACTATGATTTTTGTAATTGTGGCATCAAAATCAAGTTTTAAGGCGTTGACCTTCATTTATAATTTTCAAGCTGTATTGGTTTTGGGAAGACTCTTCAAACATATTTTTTCTACGACTCACTATAAGTTTTGTAACTATGGCATCAAAATCAAGTTTTAAGACATTGATTGTCATTTATCATTTTCAGGGTACATATATTGATTTTGAGCAGACTCTTTAAAGATATTTTTTCTACGACCCACTATGAATTTCGTAACTGACACCAAAATGAAGTTTTAAGACATTGACCGACCTTTATCATTTTCAAACTGTGTATTGGTTTTGAGCAGAGTCTTTAAACATATTTTTTCTACGACCCACTATGATTTTTGTAATTGTGGCATCAAAATCAAGTTTTAAGACGTTGACCTTCATTTATAATTTTCAAGCTGTATTGGTTTTAAGAAGACTCTTTAAACGTATTTTTTCTACGACCCACTATGATTTTTGTAATTGTGGCATCAAAATCAAGTTTTAAGACGTTGACCTTCATTTATAATTTTCAAGCTGTATTGGTTTTAAGAAGACTCTTTAAACATATTTTTTTCTACGACTCACTATGCATTTTGTAACTGTAGCGTCAAAATCAAGTTTCAAGACGTTGACCTTCATTTATAATTTTCAAGCTGTAATTGTTTTGAGCAGACTCTTTAAACATATTTTTTTCTACGACTCACTATGCATTTTGTAACTGTAGCGTCAAAATCAAGTTTCAAGACGTTGACCTTCATTTATAATTTTCAAGCTGTATTGGTTTTGGGAAGACTCTTTAAACATATTTTTTCTACGACTCACTATAAGTTTTGTAACTATGGCATCAAAATCAAGTTTTAAGACATTGATTGTCATTTATCATTTTCAGGGTACATATATTGATTTTGAGCAGACTCTTTAAAGATATTTTTTCTACGACCCACTATGAATTTCGTAACTGACACCAAAATGAAGTTTTAAGACATTGACCGACCTTTATCATTTTCAAACTGTGTATTGGTTTTGAGCAGAGTCTTTAAACATATTTTTTCTACGACCTTCATTTATAATTTTCAAGCTGTATTGGTTTTAAGAAGACTCTTTAAACATATTTTTTCTACGACCCACTATGATTTTTGTAATTGTCGCATCAAAATCAAGTTTTAAGACGTTGACCTTCATTTATAATTTTCAAGCTGTATTGGTTTTAAGAAGACTCTTTAAACATATTTTTTCTACGACCCACTATGATTTTTGTAATTGTGTCATCAAAATCAAGTTTTAAGACGTTGACCTTCATTTATAATTTTCAAGCTGTATTGGTTTTAAGCAGACTCTTTAAACATATTTTTTCTACGACTCACTATAAGTTTTGTAACTATGGCATCAAATTCGAGTTTTAAGATTTTGACCGCCATTTATCATTTTCAAGCTGTAATGGTTTCGAGCAGACTCTTTAAACATATTTTTTTCTACGACTCACTATGCATTTTGTAACTGTAGCGTCAAAATCAAGTTTCAAGACGTTGACCGTCATTTATCATTTTCAAGCTGTATTGGTTTTAAGAATATTTTTTAAACATATTTTTTCTACGACTCACTATACATTTCGTAATTGTGGCATCAAAATCATGTTTTAAAACATTCATCATTATTTATAATTTTCAAGATCTATTAGTTTTGGTCTGATTATTTAAACACATTTTTTCTACGACCCTCTATGAATTTCGTAACTGAGGCATCCAAAATTGACTGGTGATTGAATTAAAGAAAAATAAATCTAGTACCAATATATTAAAATATTTTTTGTTAAACTTTTACCTTAAAGGTGTGTAATTTATTTGAATTTAATTTGTACAGTGTTTTTAAAAATTCGTCTCAAATTTTGAGTGGTTGTTTTTATATTAGGCAATAAAAAAGTCGTAAATCTGGACCCAATTTTTTTGTATATAAGCAAAATGTCATTAGTTCAACTGTCACTGTCGTATTTGTTGTTTTATGAGTGGCGTCAATTACAGTGTTGCCGTTTGTTTGTATACAAGATTGTATGTACCAGGAATTTTGTTAAATTACTTTTCACCCAAATTTTTGTTGAATCTGAAATATCTAAAAAGAAATAGCGTTTGAGTTATTAAAAACTGAATATTGTTCATTTAATTAATTTTTGGTTATGCAACTGTCTAAATCTTAGACAGAGACATGTTATGTCTTCGTTTATTATCTAATTACAATGAATAAAAAAATCACTGAAAATTTGAGACTACATTACCAATTATTATTGTTTATTAAACATTTATTATAATTCCCACATTTTGCTATTATTTATCAAGTGTACCTATTTTTATACATTTAACTTTTGTAGTTTTTTAGTGTTAAGCAAAAAAATATTAACCAACAAGGTAATAATAAAATATTTATAAGCAATGAAAGGTTCATAGAAACTATATAAAAAAAATAAGCATTTAGAATGTATAAAGAAAGCATTTTTATAATTAAAATTATATAAAAATGATTTGTTTTCTATGCAAATTATTTCATGGGGAGTTTAGATGATGTTTATGTTGTACATTTGTTAATGTATGGAGTAATCCACAAATTGTTTTCTAAAGTAGGCATGTCAGAGCGTATACTTCTTCTGTTATCACTAACATGATCGATCATGGCCTACTTTAGAAACATTTTTTCGTGGATCACTATCGTCCAGAAATGTTTCATCTCCGCTAGCATTGTGACAAAAAGATATATGACTATTACCAAAATGAATGGCCTTATATTTGGTTTGAAAGGCAGACATAACGAAAATATTTTCCTTATATTTCCTATAAATGTTTGAAGAAATGAAATCAAATAATTTTCTCATAAAATCTTTTCTATTTTACTACAACCGGGCGACTATGAATGATTGTAATTTTGTTTTGAACGGTTGGCAACGATACAGTTTGGTCAGTTGGTCATACTGATGACAATTTTGACGTAAACCATAGGCGTGCGGTTGTCTCAAATTATAGAAGAAAATTAAATGTATTTCTGTCAGAAATGTGTACTTTTCGTGGAAGTCACTGAATTACAAAAAAATATTTTCAAATACAGGTTATTTCATAAAATTGCTTCTTGAAAATGAAGAAAAAAGTTTTACATTTTTGTTGAGATTTTAAAAATCAAAATTCGTTAGTAATTTAAGTGGGTAGAAAAGTAGATCATCTATGAAAAATTTGCAAGATTGTCTCAGATTAGCCTAAATAGGAAAATATGGAAAATGCAATAGACTTGAATCGTTAAAATGCTTATTTTTCAATTATCTGCAAAAATCCTTTACATTCCAGGCAGGAAACATTATATTCCCATATTTAATTTGTTAATTTTTTTTTTATTTATTAAACTATAGAGTACAAATATCGCATATAGAAATCATGTATGTAGATCTTTCTTAATACCTAGTAGGGCTAGTTCCTATAATTTTTCGACAATCATTTTTATCTTGTAAAGATCATCTCATTGATAATTTCTACCGTGCTTATATACATATATCCAGGAGAAGCTTTCAATGGGACACCCGGTATATTGTTTTATAGTCATCAAAGCTTCCTTGGCAGTAATTTACTGCCCTTTTTTGGTTAATAAGATTAAAATACATAATAACAATCTGAACTAGAAGATGCAATAATGTTATTTTTGGAACTCTATAAAAATATTTTACAATTTGTCAAACTCGTCCTGATATAATTTTTTTTTATTAATATGTAGTGGAGAGAGCTTCCCGTGTATTGCTTTATATACCTGTAATAATAAATTTATATGTCAAAAGGCCTCGTTTTTTATTTTCTAGAGTTTTTAGAAATACCAAGAAAAGGAAAAGTTAAGACTTAAGCTTAATTTATAATCGCCGTAACGTAACTTAAGAACTTAACGTAAGAAGTTGAAATTCGTAACGTAATTTAAGAAATTAACGTGCCGTAGAAAGTTCGCCAACTTTTAACTTAACAACTTAAGACCTTACGGTCAGACAATGAGATAATTCTGAGTTCAGCATGTGATAACTGTCAATAATTATTCTTTTTATTTTTTTTTTATGAATGAATAGACAAATACCATTTGTAAACTATTATTCTCCTTTTTTATGGACATACATTATATGAATGATTTGTGTTTATGTTATTGGGGATATGATATATTGAAGGGTGGACGGCCCAAACTGACTTGAAATTCGGATTCAGCGGGTCAAAATACATGCCGGTAGGTAGGTCGTATCTGATGTAAAAACAACTTTTTTTTTGTGTGTGTCGGTGTAATTATTTCTTCAGAAAATATAAACTAATCTGAATCTTTTAGTTGAAAATTTAATACTTAAACTCATTTTCCTTAATATTTAAATAATTAAAATATTAAAAATAAATTCCACTATTTTTAACACTCATATTTAACATATCTTGTTGGTGTAGAGCCTAGCGCGTTTGTCTTTCAACCTAAAGGTCGTGAGTTCAATCCTCACCGGTTAATATATTTTTTATTTTAAATTGATTTTTTTATTTGTAAAATTAAAACCTTTAAAACAGTGGATGAGCCATCAATTTTCGATTAAGAGTATTCTAACCGATCTTGGAAGTTATTTTTTAGATGTACTTACTAACAAATATTTTTTATGCTAATCATAAATTAATTTTTAAGTAAGTAGGTAACACAATATACACATAACATACTTTTGGTTTGCTAGTCAAGTTAGGGTGTCTGTCAAATTAACGTAGTAAGATTTGAATTCGGCAAAATAAAACTAATATACTTTTAATATCGTGTGATCGTAGAAAAAAGCTTGTGTGTAATTCGAGCGGAAAGCTATTTGCCGCTTATGATAAAATGCCGCACTCCGCTGCGCGTCGGGCGGCAACTTTTTATCTCAAGCGGCGAAGTAGCACAAACAGCTATTAACACGCGTCAAATGATAACACTCTGAAAAAGAAAAATGTACTAGATTTTGTTTCGAGTGTACCAGATTCATAGAAAAGGTACTAGATCTAGTACAATTAATTGTACTAGACTGGACTGACAACACATTATGGGTTTAATTATGAACAAATGGTAGTTTTTCATCGTTGATTCAAGTACTAACAAAATTGTTTCTTCAATTAGAAATGTTACACAACGGTTTTTTGAAAATATTGAAAATTGTTGATTTAGGAAGACCTATTTAACGTCTATATATATTATTAGCACATAGCACATTTTTTATTAAGAAATTATCCAAGATTCTGTTACTATTTTCTTTATTGTAATTATGTAAAAAATATTGTTGCTTCGTCATAGTTTATTCAACGTAAAAGATGGTTCCCTAGTCGAATTTCTGTGATCAGCATCTGATAAAGACTTGAATACATGATACTATAAAATAAAGGTATGATATTACGCAAATTGATGCTATACGTCACGGTGACGTAATGTGGTGGTGGAAGCCATAGCTTTTACGAATTTGACGTATCAGCTGATCTAAAAAAAAAACAACGCGTGAAAATAAATTTTAATCCACTCATGAGGTTCATGACGAACGAAAGAACCTATGGTCAACCATATTCCACACCACAATACGTCATACGCGAACTCGACGAGATTTCGTCGGCTAAGAATCATACCTCTGTTTTTTTGTATCACGATTTGAATATGCTTGAATGTTGATTTACAAAATAATTGTCATTGTCAACATACTGTTACAAAATGAAAATATGAAAGACGTAAGAATATAAAATTGAGATAGAAGTGTAAATCATTGTTAAAATTATTCTTGTAATGTCGGTTTAAATTTAAGATGAAGGTGCCCTTCTATACTGTCATTGGACCAATATTGAAGAAAAACCATCGGTCCATTAGATATTTTTGTGAAAATCCAGCTTTATCATTTTCTCCTTTTTATGTACTTATTTTAGGAATTTTAGGTGTGGTAAGTACCCACTAAGTTATTATATTTCTTGTAATCTAATTCAGAAATGTTTCCACCTTAATTTAGTAAACTTATTTTCAACATGTATAGAAGAAGTCTTAGGAATATTATTTATAACATGGATATTGTCAAAAAATATAATAATCATTTATTTTAGGGTTTAAGTATATACGATATACTTAGAATAATAAAATGCGGTCCAATATTGCCGGGTTTTCTTTGGAGAGAAAGACTGAAAAACAGTTCACTGGTAGCACCAGAAGTGGAAAGAGATTTTAAATTAATATGTCTAGTTTTGTCGTCTGAATATTATTTATTTCTTTTAGTGGGCTTAGCAACAGTAAGTATCGTTTTTCGAATAGCAATTTAAGGTTTGACAATTAAATAACAGCTTGTGACAGTTCTAATATCTAGTAACTTTTGATTTTAATGGTTTGTATTTAAAATTTTGGAAGTTGGTATCACTTTTAGTGTCAAATAACCTTAGAATAATTAGGTTCTTTCGTTCGCTGTCGGTGCAGTGTCCACCAGTGTAAATTACACCAGTTACACCACCTTATTTACCTTAGTTTACTTCCCTCCTTATTCCTTATACACATTTCGAGTGTAATTCACTCCTACTAAATAGCTGGCGGAGAAAATATCCACCAGTGGACACCACATCACCGACAGGAAGGTTTAGTGGATTTTACACCGGGCCGAACGAAAGGTTTAGTGTACGTTGGTGTAGTTCATTCCTACACCAGTGGGACGAACGAAAGAACCTTATGATATGTTCTAAGCAAATAACTCATAAGGGTCATAATCAATATTTACAATTTGTATAAGATAAAATCTTTTTTAGTCTAACCCCATATTTTTTCTCCCCTTCATGTGCCTATATGCGGGTATAATTTTAATGGAATCGTCGATATTTTTAATGAGGGCCTTCATGGAAGGTTTGGATTTCAAAAAATCTAGTCTGGTGATGTCTATGTTCATGGTCTACAACTGGTTATCGGTATTTTGCACATTTTGCCGACATATGACAGGATGTGATGTATAAGTATATGTAGTAGTAAAATTGTTAATAGCATAGTAAATATTATTTAATAAATAAAGGCAAAAAATTAATGACAGAATGGTTTGTTTTCGTTTGGCTCACTGATTACGTCACGCTGATATATTTAGATAAGAAATGTCAACTCATCGACGAACCTTGGTAGTTTTTGACCGAAACAAAATCGAGTTTTACTAATTTTATCTGACACTGACAATTTGTGTCACATTTTTCTAAATTACCGTCCCTGATTTGACATTTTTAAAATAAATCGGATAAAAAAAATTCATTTGAAAAGTGCAGATACGGAAATTAGGTCTAAAAATGAGCGCCGAAACCATCGTTATCAAGAACCCGGCTCCCAATTTCCCAGAGAACACGGTGAAATTTTCCAGCGCCGAAACAAATTCCAAACTACTTATTACAACTTTGTGGCTTTTTTCATCGATTTTCTCTGCAGCTAAAATCGATTTTAATGCCAATATAACAGGTAAACCATATTATTATCATTAATTATAATTAATTTTTTATCTGTTTTAAAATGGAGCTCGCTCATGACTTTCAAAACCGGACGCTCATACCAAAGATAAAAATGATAGCTTTCGCTTAATAGTGAACGATAAAAATATTGGGCCGTTTTTCGTGTTCAACGAAAATAATTAAAAAATTATTAGTGGTTTAAATGTACAGTGTGTAATAGCTAAGTAGAATAAATTCAGTAGCTCAATTATTACTGTGGATATTTATAAAAGTCCCCGAAACCTTCGACCCCCTTCCAGTGACAGTTGCAACCCTTAAATTTATAGATATGAAGTAGGGGCTTGTGATACCTCATTTGAAAGGTTTCATTATTTTTTCAAAAAAAATGCTGTGGTTTTCAAATTTATTGCTAAAAATTAACAGTAAAAAAAATTACTAAAAGTTTCTTCCTACTAATGTAAAAAAATAACAAAAAACATCAATCTTAATGTCCTGGCAGTATCTTAATCGTAAATAAAATTGACCAACAATCACGTGGTTTAGTTTTCTATAGCATACTTTTCACGTAATTTTATAAGAAAAAGTCTAATGGCTTTCACATATCCCTAAAAGAAAACGTGGCTTAAGATCAGGTGATCGTGCTGGCCTTTCTATCGATCCTCGCCTTCTTATCCACCAATTTGGAAATATTTGGTCGACGTACTGCCTGATGGTTTTGATAATGTGGTGCTCCATCTTGCTGGAACCATATTACGTTAGCTGGAACTTTGGGTTTGCTTGACCAGGATACAAAGGAGAATGGGCAGTTTTGCCCCACCTCCAATAGGAGCAAGATACAGTGTGTCGCATTTAAGATGAAGACACCCCTATATTCTGTCTATCTAAATAAATACAGATTTGAAGTTTTGCACAGTCATACAGGGTGATGGTTCACATTTTTTAAGATACTCAACTGATATTTAAATTTTAAACGCGGCCTACTGCGAATCCACAAACAGGGTAAATTTTCGATATTTTTCTTCAAGTTAGAGATATCAGGAGACATCCGAAACGTGCTTCCATTACACATGGAAAAGCAGCCACTATAAATGCTCTTTTCAATGAAACTGACAGTGTTATTAAAGTCCATCAGAATGGCCAACCTCGGCGAATACACCCGCATCCTGAGGATAACGATATACTGGCGGCAAATCGAGCAAATTCACGCATGAGCCTTCGAGATTTATCATCTGAATATTACTAAGGATAAAATCAGAAGATGTTTCATCCGTCACAAAATCAAGCCCTATAAACCAAAGTTCTTACATACATTAAAAGAAGACGATGAGAATAAAAGATTAGATTATTGTTATTGGGCGCAAGGTTTTTTTTTTAATAACAGGCATCTTCTGGAGAAGATTATGTTTACAGATGAGGCTACTTCACCACCAATGGCGTTGTATCATCTCAAAATTGTAGATACTGGGCCATAAATAATCCCCACTGGGTTATAAATTGTAAAGATCAATATTCCCAGAAAGTCAATGTCTGGTGTGGAATTTTGGTAGTCCAAGTAATAGGTTCCTTTTTCTTTAATGAATCATTAAATGCTGGTCGTCTAGTTAACTTTTTTGATGGGGAATTATGGGATGCTATAGAAAATCTTCCTCTCAATGTGCGACAGGATATTTCCAGCTAGATGGTGCATCCATTCACAATTCAAGGATTGTTCGTCAATGGTTAAACTAAACATTTCCTATGCGCTGGATAGGAAGAAACAGTCCTTTTGAACCCTGGCCACCGAGGTCCCCTGATATTACACAACTCGATTTTTATTTTTGGGGACTGATAAAAAATAAAGTTTATAAAACAAGGCCCAAAAATCGAGATGAACTTTGTGCCAGAATAAGACAAGCCTGTCAAGAAATCAGCATCCCAAAACTTAGACGAGTATCGAGATATAATCGTAAAAGAATTGAAAAATGTATTAGAATAAATGGAGAGATAACATTTGATAAATTGTCATTTGTACAATGAAAATTATTGTTTTAATTATTTTCTTAAATTTAATCAGTTACCTACTAAAAAACGTTTTCTTAAAATAAAATAATTATTCGTTTGTGTTAGTGTTATTTATTTTACTGAAGAATTTAAATTACATGAATTACACTAAACTGAAAGTCTAATCTGATTGACATTAATGATTTCACAAGTGTCAAATTATTCCTTTCCATGGCATACTAGTTTATCAAATGAAAAAAAAATCAACTTTTAATAATTTTGTGTATTGACCAAAATAATGAAAAAAACTAAAAATGCGAATTTTGTCATGAAATTTGGTATGTAGGGTTAGAATAATATTCGGAACAACTTTTTCTGATATCTCTAACGCGAAGAAAAATATCGAAAATTGACCGTTTGTGGATTCGCAGTAGGCCGCGTTCAAAATTTAAATTTCAGTTGAGTATCTTGAAAAATGTGAACAATCACCCTGTATGACTGTGTGCAAAATTTCAAATCTGTATTTATTTAGATAGCCAAAATATAGAGGTGTCATCTTAAATGCGACACACTGTATATGCCAAATGAAAGTTATTGGTACGGAGAACTTTTATTATGATTTCTGTCAATTATCTGCCCGTTTCAAGTTATATCGTACATGTGCCAAATTAAAGGATTCATCTTTTTTTTTATTAGAAACAGTTTATGGAAAATTAAGATGGGAGTCTTTCATTACCCAGACAACACACCAAATCCCAGAGATATCCACAGAATATCTTTTGTGGATATCCAATATATCCACAGGATATCAAAAATATCCCGTGGGTCTAATATGGATATCTAAATGTCCGTCTATATCCAGAATATAGAAGATATCCTATGGATTTCCAGCAAAATATCTAATGGGTATCGTCCAGACAATACAAGAAATCCCAGATATATCCACAGAATATATTTTGTGGATATCCAATATGTCCAGTGGATCTCTAATATGGATATCCAAATGTCCGTCTATATCTCAGAATATAGAAGAAATTCGGATATTCAGCAAAATATTTTATGGGGTAGAGGTTCATAAGTAACCAATGATTATTGAATAATGTCGAAAGAAAATAACAGAGATAAAAAATATTTTCAAAACTCAAAATATTTTCAACACTCTGCCTTTGATTTTCCCACTAAGGAGAAAGTCATCCTTATTAGGACTCTTCAGCAATAAATGGAAATTCTCGACTCCAGTCTGATTGAGAAACCACTTTCAATCGAACTCAATTACGGCGGGTTGAGCATGAGTAGATATTCAACGAGCGAAAGTGGTATCGCCGTCTATACTTAGTAAGCAAAATCAAAAATTAAATTTAGTGGATATCCACCATGGTTTGCGTTCGCGCCTAGATTTTGATATATTTAGTGGATGTCCATGGGATATTGAATACACCTTAAAAAAATAATTTTAAATATCTGAACGGTACTATTAGCCACAATGGCGTAATTTTTTAATAATTTGCTATATAATTACTATTATTTATGGACATTTGCATGTCTACAAATTACATCTCATGGATATAAAATAGATATCCACCATGGACTGGACATTCAGTGGATATTGGGATGTCCAGTAGATATCCAAAGGATTTGATGTGCTGTCTAGGTATAAGCTTTTTCTATTAAGATTTATTTTGTTGTTCTCCTGATCGACCGTCGCTGTGTTAATATTAGCAAAGATATAATTTTTAAAGCCCGAGAAAATGAATCTTTCCTAGTTCTGAATTGTGTACCGTTTTGGGACCTCTAAAGTTTCGTAAAAGAGGCCAGACCAGTGATTTCACAGACTGGTTTCAATGACTAAATTTCTCAACATCCAAGGTATACCAGGTCAATAGACCCCACACTACTGTTAATCAGTCAGAGCTGGGGAGGATTCGAATCACATAGGATTCGAATCCTTTTTGAGGATCCGAGAGCGGGATTCCAATACTTAAGCTTTGACTTGTCGCGAATTGTAAACTAAAAACTAAAACAGACTGAGACTGAATAGAAAACCGATGTGTTTGGCGTTGTGCACGATTACAGAATTAACAAATAATCTGATATAGATCCTCAATACAGATAAGTGAAAAAAAATTCTGTATCCACATCCAGGTATATTATTTATTTTTCTAATTTTTGCACAATATACAAAATAAATATGTGGGCGATATTAGACTATTGAACGAATATAATATATAATTATATCCATTCTATGTTTTCTATCAATTACAATTCATTACTTAATGTCAAGTTGACTATTTTTTTTTATTATTTAAAATGAGTTTTAGTTATTAATATAAAATATAATTAAAAATTAGTGATTCTTGTGAAAAATCGATAAATAACGGCAATCAACTAGTTTTTTTATATTTACAAGGAAACTTAAGTAAAGTTTAAACAATACGAGTATGTAGTCAGTAGAGCGCGTCACTTAGGTAATCGCCTATATGTGACAGCCAGCTTCGTTTTTCAGCTTCAAGTTTTAAATGTTTTTATTTATTTATTTACGGGTCAAACCTCATTTTACAGAATTGTATAACAAAGTTTGTCCTTGTTTAGTTAATATCCATGGTTGCAATTTAGATCTATAAAGACCTATCGAATTTAGGTTTTTAAATGACACCGGAAGTGCGTTAAATATTTTAGGACAGAGATATAAAACAGTATTAGATTCGAAAGCAAATATAATACCACAGTATAACACTGACAGTGATTCGTATCCGTGATCCGAAAAAAAGGATTCGAATTACTTGATTCGAATCCTTTTTTTTTAAAGGATTCGAACATTGGATCCGTGATTCGAATCACATCTCGTGATTCGAATTCGTGATTCGAATCCATTTTTCGAGGATTCGTCCCAGCTCTGTAATCAGTTAATCTTTAATTCACTCCAGACCATCGACCTTGAGACAACGTTGTACTCTAATCCGTCACTGTATGAACTGTATTAAACCGAATTACTTTGAAAATGCTCCTTTAAACGGAAAGCGACAATTAAACTGATTGTAAATAAAGACTAATAATTATTTGGGTTTCGTATTGCTCCATTGCTTCAGAGTAAAAAGTACAAGACAACTACACCGTTTAGGTTGAGTAAGGTAGGTATTACCGGTGTTAAGCTTCTTTCACTTACTACCCCATTTGCAAGTGGTCGCCTGGAATTTAATTGACTTCACTGGGACTACTTTCGAGTGTACTCTAGGTGTACTCGAGGGTCGCAGAGTAAACTGCGTTATCAAAACTGGCGCATGGGCATAAAAATTAATCAAAATTAATGAAAATTATAAAAAATTTAATAAAAATTGAAAAAATTAATGATTTCTTTCAGGTATATCTATCGGATTTAACCTTCAAGATGTAATTTTGGTTACTCTCACTGCTTGGATGCTACATAGGGGATTTACCAGTGTAAGTAGTCACGTCATCGGTTTCATATTGCTCTTGCAACTATTCGTATTTCAGAGAACTGTAGCTCTAATATTCCCATGGGTATCGGCGACAATGTACAGCCTGTACTACAACCATTATAAAAGCCTATCTAGGATGATAAGAATTTTAAGACACGTCAAACACGCCACTGCGCTACCTTGGATAGCGCTGTTCGCAGCTACCGTGGGACTAGGTAAAAAAATTATGTGTAATTGGCGCAGTTAGTAGTATCTAGTATTCATGATAGTCCTGGATATTTTATTGTTTCTGGCTTTTTCAATAAACAATTTTTCTCGCTTTTGCGACTATTCTGTTTTTTATGTCACTTAGTATGCCAGTTTTTTTGGAAATTAATTTTTTTTTTTTTTTAGTATTACGAGTAGTTCTGGTGTTGAGAATCCTACAGCTGTCAGCCAATTTGTGGTACCGTAAAAAGTTGGAAAAGGAATTATACAATCCCCTTAATTAATGTAGACGCTATATTGTATAACTGTTTTTTTTTTATTAATTCGTACAAAATATATAAACACAAAAAAACATTTATTCTAAAACTTTCGTTACACATTCAGTAAAAACGGTAAGAAATAAATGACAGCTGTCAAACTTCGGGAACGTGACAACTGTCAAAGCTGACAAGTTACAGCTGTCAAAGCTGGACACGTGACGGCCATTAAAGCCAATACTGTTGATAGAATTATGATGAGATTCTATGGGCGCTGTCATTTCTTATTTCACTTGGGAGTAATTATTGTAATAACCAATTTGTATTTCACTCTAAATAATCATGATTCACCAGATAGTGTGAGACAGAAAATGGTAATTATAAATACTTCCGAGTGAGACGAACAATAAAAATGAGCGTACCCATAGAGTCGCAACTAGTGCTATTGACAGAATATACAAATTGGCATTCTACCCTACTCCACTTTATTGGTTAACTAAAGTTTCTAAAATGTCAAGAGTCAATTTCATAATAAATTCAAAGTTGTCAGTTTAAAGAATCCTTTAAATTTAATGTGAAACTGGCCATTACAGAAACATAGGATGATAAGAACAACAGTTGACAAATCATTCAAGGATATGATAAGAATGACAATTGACAGATCTTTCAAGGCTATAATGAGAAGAATGACAGTTGACAGATCTTTCAAGGACAATACGAACCAAAACCGAACTTCATACACCGAAACAAATAGTTTATCAAATAAATAAAACATCTGCAATTAAAAAAATCATTCACTGTTCACTTTTTTGGCCGGATTAGAAGACTCTGGGTCCTGCTTTTGATTGTCATCGGCAACGTCTTCGGGCTTCCTCTTCCTTTTGACCAAATGCGAAATGTTAGTGGCGGGTTTCGACGAACTAGAAGAGGGCACTGCGATTTCTGCTTTGGTGCCTTCGGTGACGGCCGAAACGATTTTTTTCAACGCCTGCAAAACGACAAAAGTAAAATTCATAACGAAAAATTATTCAACCTACCTCGTATTTATATTAACAGAAATGTCGAAACTGGAGCGAAATTTTTTTCGTGACTAGGAATAAAATTAAAAATCTAATTAAAAGGCAAAAAATTTATTATAAAAAAAATAATACAAAAATAAGCTTCAGTCTTGGGCGGTTCAATCTCAATACTTAACGAGCCTTAATTTGTGACAACTGACAATACAAACAAGTGACGTTGACGTTTAGCTGACAAGTGACAACTGTAATAACTAAGAATTTCAAGAAAAGACGTTGATATCTAACAAATACTTTGAATGTTATACAGGTTAATTTTATTTAATGAAAATTTAAAAACTCTACCACTAGTTGCTACAGATTTGACAGTAGATAAGCGAAACAAACGACGTTGACATATGTCAGTTATAAATAATTGATAGTAATTGTGACAAGTGATATTGACAGCTGTCATTACTTAACGCGATATAACTTGTGAAAACTGATAATACAACCAAGTGACGTTTATCAATTATCTGTAATAACTGGGTATTTCAAACACAAAAGACGCTGATATATGTGAGACTTTGAATTTTAAACAAGAAGTTATTTATTTTTTATTCAACATAAATATAAAAACTCAACTCAATCCACTCGTTGCCACAGATTTGACAGTAGACAATCAAAACAAACGACGTTGACCTATGTCAATTATAAATAACATATTGATAATAATTGTGTCATTCTTAATGCGATATAACTTGTGAAAACTGACAATACAAACAAGTGACGTTGACGTTTATAAATTATCTGACAAATAACAACTGTAATAACTGGGAATTTCAAAAACAATAGACGTTGATATCTAACAAAAAATATGTGAGATTTGAATTTTAAACAGGTTATTTATTATTTATTTAACGTAACACTGGTTGCCACAGATTTGACAGCAGACAATCAAAAGAATCGACGTTGAGATATCTCAATTAAAAATAATAACAAATTGACTAATTGTGACAAGTTGACAGCTATCATTACTTAATAAGACATAATTTATGACAACTGACAATGCAAATAAGTGACGTTGACGTTTAATATCTGACAACAAATATTTGAAGACTTTGAATTTATAACAGGTTATTTATTTTTTATTTAAAGAAAATATAAAATCTCAACTCTGGTTACCACAGATTTGACAGTAGACAAGACAAACGACATTGACATATATCAATAAGAACATAATTGCCAGCAATTGTGACAAGTTACATTGACAGCTGTCACATTAGACAAACAAACAATTAAATAGTAACTTTTTTTAAGCCCTCTTCGATATTGGTGGGCTTTCTTTTGACCTCAATCACATTGATAGCGTTTTTATTCAATAGCTTTTCGAAATTCGGTTTCGATACGAACGATTTAATGGTGGTTCTAATATCGCATTGACATACCTCGTCCTTGTAGGTCTTCATGTCGGTGATTTTTTCTTGGATGTCCGGTATGAGGCTTTTGATTTCTTTGATTTCCTCTTCGATTTCGTCTTTCTTGTCGTCCTGCTTTTCAAGATGAGCGATTCTGTTTTTCAAGTACTCCAACGAGCTGTCGAAGCTCTTGACGGCCTCTTCGATTTGGGAATTGGTGGAATAGGCGATGCCGAGCTTGTAGTACGTTTCGGCTACCGTACGGGAATCTTTAGCGAAAATATCTTTTTGTATGGCGAGACCTTCGTTAATATCGTTGATGGCCGATTCGAAATTTTCGCTTTCCAGTGATACTTCGCCTAGAACGGTTAGGGTGTCGGCTAAGCATTTTTTGGCCGACGAGCCTTGTTTTTGGAATATTTTTTTAGCTAACTCCAATACTTCCCAGGCCACTTGCAAGTCCGTGGGTTCCTCTTCTCCTTCTGCTGCAGTTGTACCTGCAAATATGAAAAAATATTGCAAAAATTAAGAAAACGAATGAAATTAAAATTATCTACCATTGCTGCATGAAGGTTCTTCGTTTGCGGTTCCGTTAGAAGTGGTTGGTTCAGTTTCTTTTGGTTCGGATTCCATTGGTTCTACGGACTTTTCTTGTTTGTCGTCTTCAGCGAGGTCAGATTCTTTAGCTTCGTTATCGGCATTTTCATTTCCTTCAGGTTGCTCCTCAATTTCATCCTCCTCCGAAGATTCTTCGTTGTTTCTTGGAACCGCATCGCCTGGGAAATATAAATTAGGTAAAGGTTCGTACTTCGACTGGTCGAAATACTGCTAAAACCTCTCAGCTACGATCAATATGCTTATTAACCAGAAAAACTATTAGCTCAAGAACCGGAGACACTTGAGTTGTGCTCCAGGACGAAATGAAAAAGAATTTCAGTTTTGTGAAAAGCAAGAAAAATGGAGCCAAGAATCAATGTTTGTCTCCGCGGCCAAAGGACATGCCATTTAGTACTTAATACACGGATGGTTCCAAAATCATAGAAGGACCTGGAATAGAGTCTATGGACCTGGAACCAAATATGTTGATGACCAAAGCTATATTATAATTCCATGAGTTTTACAATAATTTTTAAATTGTTCTGGGGGTATCACCAGTAACCGATTAAAAAATAATTGGGTAGAATAAAATTGGATAATCTATTGGGGGTAAGAAAGACTAAGATACTTCTGAATGATATGACCAGAAACGACCGCAAGCCTGTATCTGTCTGGGCAAGAACAAGTTAAGCATAGTAATGGGACATCATTGCAGACTCAAAAGACACCTAAGGAAACTTGGACTAGTAGGTAGGACGAAACTGTCATTCACATTCTGACTAAATGCATGGCACTATAAAATTCAAAAGCACTAAGCTTATTAGCCCAGATAGAGTCAGATTAATACCTAAACTGTCTTAGAATAAGAAATAAAATAAATAAAAATGACAATCTTCCACGTCAATTTACTAAGAGAAGCTACACAACAAAATTATGCCGATGGACCAAAGCCAACCTTGTGGTAGAAGGACTGGGGAGGTCACCATAGAGGTTGTTCACAATTAGCAACCCTGATAAACGAGCCTTTTCATAGAGTGACCACAGAAGGATTTTAGATGAAAAATAACATTTTAAAATTAAGAAATCAATTTAGAATCCCTATGGCCAACCTACTTAGTAACAGTCTACCTACCCAAAGCTTCGCTCTCGTCCCTGGATAACCCAAGTAGCGATTTTCCGTAGTACAGGTAGACGTCGCCTAGTGATTCGTGCAGATCATCTTTGTGTTCCGTGACTAACATTTCGATGGCTTGGCTAAGCGCCGCCACTGCCGAGCTGAAATCTTGTAGGATGTAAGCTCTAACGCCTTGAGCGTACAGTTCTTTTGGGTTTTTGTTATCGGAATTCACTACTACGTCGGCCATCTGTAAATTAAATCGATATTTAATATTTACGGTTTAATACTTTTGCTTAGTTTAAAAAATATGTAGTATTTTGTAAATGTTTTACTATTAAAGCTAGACCCAAAGATATCGGATAGAATTAATAGAATAGATACGCCTTGTTTACATTAAATTTGTCCGCAAATCATTTCTGACAGTACGTTCTTCCTATGTTGTCAGACTTCATTATTTTTTTTTTATTAAAAATTACTATTCCCTTTATATAATCTAGTAAAAAAAAAAAAATAATTACAATCACTTAATATTTTTATTTATCGTCTTTTACACGTGTATCGTATGATATTGAACATACTGGTTCAGAAAATTTAAATTTGACAGCTTAAGTTTTATTGTACTTTTTTGTGGATTATTTGAGATTTTCGAAAATAATTTGAACATTGGAATGTTTAATAAGGACATTTAGGATAGTAGGGAAATGTGTATTGTGTCAAAATATTTGTAATAAGAATGTTATGCCCTTGTAATGTTTTCTTAACATAGACGGAGTCCTGTCCGTATTGTAACAAGTGTTTTCGACTTTTACAGTAAAAAATATTTTTTTTTTTAATAATAAACTAAGCTCTATTGTATTTTTTATTCAGAATAAGTTTTTTTTACGCTATTTAACATATTTCAGTTGTTTTTTTTAGTACCTTTATATACTTGTTTATCATTTAGGTTATCTTATAATGAATTTCTATTATTTTACACCTATTTAGCGTTTTAATACTTAAAACGACTAATTCAAAGGATTTTCTTTTGATCCCTATCCGTATTATAATAATTCATAGTCCCATTTATGTCAACGAAAGTACAATTCCCACACTCAAAAATATGTTATACAGAAAAAGTTGTAGAATAAGGAAAGTACTTTCTAAAGTTGATATTTTTTAACCACCTTAATCAAGGAAAATATTGTGTGACGAAGTCACTAAATTTTATTTTTAATTAATTTTGAAAATGTATATTTTAATTAATTTCCGCCTGAGGACATGTAGAAGGTCCCCCGTATTTCTGTTTCTCAGAATTCCCGTTTTTCAACAATTGCGAGTACCTTCGTAACAATTATCTACTTGTATTTATCAAGGACATTTTTTTTTAAATGTAAACAGTCGGCTGTAGTGGTGGTACCTCCCACTCCAGATTACCGGTCTTCAAGCTTGCCTAAGGAAAAAAGCATAAATTAGGTGACGACTGATAATTGTCTTCTTTTGATTTCCGGCCACCGTAAGCTCTTCTCTCTTCTGTTACCGACGAGTGACGAATCCAGATAGTGACCGTGTCATTGATAACCTGTTGAACAACCCCCGTTTATTTTTCTAAGATGGGAAACCGAAAATTATTTTTTTTTACAACTGGTTTGGGACACCTGTCCGATAAGTGAAAGACTTTTGATTCATGCTCAGTATTTACATTTCATCCCTTAGTGGGAAACCGTTGCCAATTTTTTATTTGAGACTGGATATAGGCTATACTGTGAGTGTACTCTGTTTCGACGACTCTATCCAATCTCTTTTAAGAAGCGCCCAGTTAACATTGGAGTGAGAGGTTCAACCTGTTTTCATTTTTTTTTTTATTATTATCTTTGGGAAGCCGCCCAATTTATTTTCTTTTTCTGAGGTTCGATCCGTCCTCGAGTTACGAGTGTACTCTATCTCGACGACGTTATATAATTTCCCAAAAAGACGTCTAAATTAATTTTCGCGCCTCACTTCATGTAAGTTTCTTTTTCTTTTATTTATTCAATTAAATTTGAATCATTCCGTTTTCCGTTACCAACTAATTATTGAACGAAGCCCGACGTTTTCGATCATTCCTAATTCACACATCGTTTTGATCGGCTTTGGTAAATATTATCATTCTCGTTCGACGAAACTGCCAGCGACAATCGGTCAGAACTAGGATACAGGGGGGTTCCGAAAACTTTATTCAAATTTATAGGAGGGTTTGCCTTTACTGGACTTACATTTTAGATGGTTTAACTGTAGTCATATAGTAAACTTCATTTTTCTAATATAGGGAGTATGGTAACTACCCATTTTCTTTTTTTTAACTTCTCAGTTGGTCAACCGTATAGTTAAAAATTAATTACTCCGTTCTAATTAATTACAGTTTTTTTTTTATTATTTTGACCATAAAATTTAATTTTGTTTATTGGGGAAATATACTTTCTACAGGGTGGCTCACGCTCAACGGGACGGAGCTTTATGGGAAAACGACCAAAGATATAAAAAATTCGTTTGGGAGGAATACGTAGGTTACAGACGGCTACAATTTAAAATTTGTTAGATGTATACAGGATGTCCCACATAAGAGAAAATATACAAAGTTATATTATTTTTAATGGAACACCCTGTTTTTTTATTTTAGAATTAAAAACTACATCAAAAATAATGTCAGTTAGCTAAAGGTTCCCTATTACTATTATTATTAGTTTTCGATTTATTTGAATTTTTAAGGAAAAAAAGTCTCCCAGAAATTAATTGTTTACTCTTGTTTGAATAATTTTTAATGAACTAATTTTTTTTTCTTATGTGGGACATCCTGTATACATCTAACAAATTTTAAATTGTAGCCGTCTGTAACCTACGTATTCCTCCCAAACGAATTTTTTATATCTTTGGTCGTTTTCCCATAAAGCTCCGTCCCGTTGAGCGTGAGCCACCCTGTATATACCGTATTGTACATAATTTCCGATTTAAATATTTTTCCAGTACTAGTAAAAGGTAATACGTACTTTAATTTTATTTAGTGTAAACTTTAGTCTTATTTATTATTAAGCTTATTTATTATTAAGCTTATTTAAAATTTATTTTCTATATATATAATTTTGATTTCATTAGTTTTCTTATATTTTATTACCGTCATATTTAATCAATTTTTATTACTAAAAAGTAATTTTCCGTATACAGAGAGTTTCATAATTTCCGGACCGATTAGCCTCCTGTGCTATCGAACCGCAATTATTTCCCTATAGTTTTTTTTTTAATTTTTAATAATTTATTTTTATTAAATTTTCCGAATATAGGGAACCGTAATTATTTTCCTGTAATCTCATTCAATTGTAATAATTCATTTTATTTAATTTTCCGTTTACATACGTGCCAAAACCGTGCACTACCACCGTTGTATTTTTTTTTCTGTAAATATATATTTTATTATCTACTCCTGCGTTTCTCTTATTGCTGGTTCTTAACCGTTCTCTTTCAGGGTACCGTAGGGTACGAGGTGCAAAGGAGATAAGTGTTTTATTTTTATTTATTCTAGTTTAGTGGCTATCTAGTTAGCAGTGACCGCCTGGAAATATTTTTAACTCCACCGAGTTTACCTTGAGTACACTCTGGTGTACTACAGGGTCGCAGAGCAAACTGTGTTACCAAAACTGGCGCCTGAGCAACCCCTATTCGGGAATATTTTGTAAATGACAGATGGCACACCTAGCGCAAAAATTACGGACATAAAAACATTTTTCGGATTTTTCCCCCTTAAATTTCCGATATACAGCCACCCTTAATTCATCACTCTGTATTCATTCTGAAATAACTGCAATAAAAATAATTAATTAACGTGCCTTTAAACTACTTTTTACGACCTTCAAACAGTATAATACATATTAAAAAAAAACATTCGAAACTTTTATGTTAAAATCAATATTAAAATGGTTTTGTTTCGCTCACTGACGCCAATCTAATACAGCGCAATGTGGCGGGTGTAGATTCTACAAGTTTTAATTTTGGAACTTTGATGTTTATTAATAGCCGAACTAAAGTAAGGTTAGAAAAAAAAACAAACCACTCATCAAACCGAAGATGGTGTCAATTTTAAGTTTTGCATATTTTTACCGGAATAACTTATTAAAATTGTCTTTTTCTATAATATATTACTTTTTTCTAAAAATAAAGAAGTTGTAATCTATGTTTATAAAATAAACAAAAACTTCGATGTTGTAGAGGAAACAATATTACTTTCAAACTAATTTGTCTAAAAATTAATAAAATCATAATTTATATATATATAAAAAAAAAAAAAGAAATTAGAATAAACATTTAAAATTTATATTTGTTTCATTTTCTCTATAAGCTCTATACTTTATATAACCGGTTTTTATGAAAATACAACATCAAGATCAACGTTTTTAATTTTTTTTTGTCTAAAAAACATTATCGACGAAAAAAACAATAATTTCAGCTAAAAACCGATACACAAAAGACATTTACACGGTCTTACCGCTCATAAGTCATCAGTATTTCGGCCACATGAAAAATCGAATGAAACCACAACTCGTCAGCCCGTCAGAAATGTCAAATATCCTCGACAATAATCTGTCGTCGCCGTTGCCGACGTCCAGACGAATATTTATCGACGCCTGGCGTCTTGCAACGTCGCCACGTTTACGAAGAAAGTAATAAAAATGCCATTACTTCATTCAAAGCTTGATAATAATTTTTAAGTGTTATTTTTACTTTCTTGTAACAAGTTAGGAAAGTACAGGAATTATGATTTTTTTGACCTCGAATTATTGACGGATTTGTACGATTTGGAGTCCCCTGAATATCTTTATCCACGATAAATCAAAAAGGGATAAAGTTAAAAACTTCTTAATTTTTATAATTAAGCTATAAACTATCCTGTGGTGAGGTGATTAGATTTTGGCATTAGCTTTAATTTTTACTTTACTGTATCCAGTAAGGAAAGTATAGGAACTTATTTAGAGCAACAGCAAGATAATCTAAAAACTAATTTAGAGCTACAATAAGAAATGGCTAAAGTTAGAAAGAAGAGTTCGTAGCCAAGCTTTGGTAAGCCACATTGAAGCTGAAACTACTACCTCGTCTTCATCTATAACCAAACCAAGCTACATTCGAACCCCAGTTTCACAAAACCATTCTAGCAAGACCCTTAGCCACCCACCTTTGATGGTCAGACAAACGTATCTACTCGAATTTGAAGGTGCAGCTAAAGCCAATGGCTGGGCCGACAAAGAGATGGCGGCTTCATTGATAGTGTCGTTGCGAGGATAGGCAGCAAGCCTTTTACAGTTAATTCCCCAAAAAGAACCCAGTAATTCGTCTCTCGTCCAAGCTTTGGAGACAATATATGGGTGACAGCATTTGAAAGAGGTATTCCAAAGCCAGCTAAAAGATCGTAGACAGAAACACAATGAGTCTACAGGAATTTCAGGCTGATATCAAAAGATTTGCTGCATCTGGCATATCCATAGGCTCCCAAAGATTTCTTAAAATAAATCGGCATACAGGCATTCATTGATGGATTACAGGATGTGGAAATGCAGCAGGCTCTTCGGTTACAACACCATAAGACGTAGAGTGAAACACTGATTACAGTCTATGAATACGAGATAGCAAAAGATATATACCTAGATCTTCTCGCGCAAAATTAAGAGAAATTAGATTCCAGGAAAGTAAAGAGAGCACTACTAATACTATCCCCCAACCTACCCTCTTAAAAATGTCAAATATCCTGCAAAATATGTAACGAAATAGCCAAAATGAGAGCAGAAGATGCTTCAATTGCGGAAGAGCTCGTAGTATAAATCGAAAATCGGGGAATGATGCCAGAAACTCACCTAGATCAACCTCCCGAAGTCCAAAAAGATATGCCTCTCGGATAAGCCGACCACCCACACCTAGTCAGCTTTCTAGCATAGAAACGTATAAAGGTTGACACTACGAGGCAGGCGTCGGCTGTAACAGAGAGCCCCAAAATTCGCACTTACATCTTAAATAAGAACGAACAATATCTATTGGTCATACTCCTTGACCGATAACAAAGAAGGCACCTTGGCCCTTGATACTGGTGCAACCAAGTCTTTCATTCGAAAAGGGATCCTGCATCGAAAACCACGATCAACTCGAAGAAGCATAGTTCTGGAAACAGCTACAGGGCACACTACTCCTGTTCTAGGCGAGATATCAGCAACGATACAGATTGGTAATACTCTGAAAGAACACTTATTTCTGGTGGTCGATATTAAGGATGTGTGTCCATGGTATGAACATTGTGTGCAATAAGTTTATCATTGACCTTCAAGATAAGGTTTGGATAATTGGAAACGAGGAAATTGTCCTAAATTCGGAGGATAAAGGTCCTAGTGGAAGAAGATATATAAGTACCCCAAAATTCTAAAGGTGTCGCCTCGGCGAGACTTAGCGAGAAATCACACAACTTACATGTGGGCATTGTGGAAAGTGAAGAATCTGCGAATGAAGGAATTCTGGTAACTAGATGTCTCGTTAACGTTCAACTGATTCCAGTAAGGGTCGCCAATTTATCGAAGAGACCGTTGAAACTAAAGAATGGACAAACAATAGGGCTCTGTACACCGGTAGAAAACATAATCAAGTGCAAAGAGACTACGGGTAAAGCCACCATAAGTAACTCAGTTTACGCCAGCTTTGTGAACCAGCTAGTTAAAAATTATGACCACCTGACAGCTGATGAACTCAGGAAAGTCTACGGACCGTACCAGTCTTGTCCAGCATATAATTTATACAGGCGATGCAAGGCCAAAAGACAAGCTCCTAAAAGACTCACGTTTGCTAAACAGAAAGAAGTAGCAAATATGATACAGGACATGATAGGTGCAAATGTTATTGAAGAAGCTTTTGGTCCCTGGTATTTACCTGTGGTCCTAGAAACTAAGAAACACAGATCTACTCGTTTTTGTGTAGGCTATAGAAGAATAAAATAACGCAAAAAGACAGCTACCTACTTCTCCGAATAGACGACACACTAAACACTCTCAGGTGCGAAATGGTTTTCCACTCTAGACTTGAAGAACGGATACTCGCAAGTGGAAGTACACCCCGACGATCGAGACAAAACAGCTTTTTTAACTGGTAGCGGATCATACCGATTCCAAGTTCTCTCGTTTGGTCTCTGTAATGTCCCAGCTACCTTTGAACGACTAATGGAAATGGTTTTGAAAGCATTAACCTGGAAGGTTTGTCTACTATACCTCGACGACATAATGATCATGTCAAAAACTTTTGACGAACATCTAATAAATTTGAGTGAAGTATTTGACAGATTCAGAAATGCCAATTTAAATATTAATCACACTAAATGTTCACTATTATATCAGAGATTTGCGTAAAGAGATAAAAGGGAGACTATGAGTTTTCTTGGACTGTGCTCATATTACTGGAAATTTGTCAAACACTGTAGCCGAATTGCGTGGGCGCTGTGCTATCACAAAAACAGGAGGGGAAGAGAAAGAAAACTAAGAAGAATTATTGCGTCACTAGGAAATAACTTTTAGCTATTGTCAAAGCCCTTGAACACTTCCATACTCTTTCAACATAAGTTGTATCATTAGAAGTGACCGTAGCGTCTTGCAGTGGCTTACAAAACAAAAGGGGCTGATATCTTGGTTACACTCGATTTTAGTAATGCATAAATCATAAGTTACTTGCTGCAAAGTGTTATTATTTTGGTTTTATAAGGTGTCACTAAATTTGCAAAAAACCTACTCAAAAAGTAGACGATGAAGCACTTTACAATCAATACTTTACTCACTGATCCGGTGTCCCACAAGGATCAGTGTTGGGCCTATTGTTTCTTTTGTAAAAGTCAAATCTTTTTAAAACGGTGTCAATCTAATGTACAGTTTTTGCCGATGATACTCAGCTATTTCACGATTTTCTTCATAAATAACTGTAAATGCTGTGTCGAATAAATAAAGATTTGAACAATATTTACAACTATTCTACTATGTGCAATTTATATATAAATACATCTAAATCGAAAGCAGTCTTTTCTAATAAAGTATCCAGGGACTTTGTTAAAGCAACAAAACGCCACATTTTATAATTTTGATATATTTATTTTTTGTGTTCTAGATTCTCATTTCTTCGTTTATTATTATCCTTTTGTTTATAACTATGTTTATTAATATTGTTTGATACTATTAATACTTATTATAGGTTTTTATATAGGTACTATATAATTTACATTGTTGTATAGCATAATATAAAGTATACATTGTTTATTGCCCTTTTGTTTTTATTATCGATAGTAAGTAATGGAATATTTTCTCATAAGAAAATTTTCCAATGAACTCGAGAATCGGTCCCATGGGAAAACTATAACAAGGATATTTTCCCGCGCGATTTGGCAACGCTGCCGTCGTTTTGAACTACGCAACGCGCCAACCCTAAATATCCCACTAGTGAGTAAGGGAGGGTGTTGAGGGAGAGTATTATCCTAATAGAAAGTAGAAAAAAAAAATCGTCGGAGTTGTGAAATGTGAAAAACAAAGAAAATTCGGCGCGAACGCCCACGCATTTTTTACAATATATGTATATAAGTCCGATCCAAAGAAGTAACAAATCAAAATTAAAAAAAAAAAAATAAATTTACTTAGTCCTTGAATAGAAAGTTATTTTCGGTTGTGGTGAAATAATATTGCGAGTCAATTATTTTTAACAAAATATAATAAATAGTGCTTCTATATTTTGGAAATTTTAAATTTAAGTGCCTAATCGTATAGTGTATTTAAAAAAATGCGCTTCTTAGGATATTTTGTTTGAGAGCTATTAAATAAATATATTAAGGTAAGAAAGATTTAGAAAAGAATATTTTTACTATAATTACAAAATAGTATTGTCCCCAAATTTTTTAACAGACTAGGTCAAAAGAGTGTATACATTTTATTTATAATACTAAGATATTTTCTGTCAATACAATTTATCTAACCTTGATACAAAAAAATGTCATTCGCTACTGTTGCTGGCCGGTGATGAACATATTATTTTGCTTTAATTTCCGAGATATTTGTTAACACAAGAAATGATAATACAAAAAAAAAACAACGCATTATACAGGGTGTTTCAGAAAGGTATGTCATAAATTCTTCCTCAGATAGATTACCAAAAAATAAATGGATTTGGCTATATTTACGTATATCAAAAACTGGCTCCTAACAAAGTTACAAAAAAACGTTGTTTTTTTTTGTAAAAAGTTTGCTGTTGCGATCTTTTCTTTGAATTCTTTTGCCAGTGCTATAAATTTGAAGTCCCAGTATTCTAAAGAGAAAAAATAATTAAAGCGACCCCCTTAAAAAAAGTTGGAGGGTTGGGTACCTTTGCTTTATCGATCTTAAAATCAAAAAGAACTATGATTTTTTAAATTTTTTTATATAACAAAATGAACTTTGTATCTTTCTTAGTTAACGATCTATTTACAATTTTTTAAATGAATTTCTAGAGCAATTCGTCCGTCCTGGACTTAACATATCAACAAAAGTAAGAGTAGTTATTGTACAAAAACGCATATAAAAATCAGTGGTGTGTGTTAAAGTAATAGACAAAATACGTAGATCAACTTTTAATAATGACAAAATACAAAAATCTAGTGACAGTGACAATATATCTATCTATATCTTGTTTTTTAATAAAATCAAAGTAACCACAGTGAAGTAAAGCTCTTTCTGCACCTTAACAGTGTGCCTATGGCTGTGCTTGAGCCGCCCTTGCAAAAACTACCTACAAGGGTTAACAAACAGAAAATATATTTTACAATAATAAATAACAATTGGTTCGTTAAAAGAATGTCTTTACTAACACACACATGACAAAAAACGAAGAACAAAAACAAAAGGTGCATTTGTAGTAGACAAACTTTTAAACCATACAAGTAATTGGGAGATAAAGACTCACAATAACAGCAAAAAAAAGAAACAAAAGGTATGAACTATGAGCATAAACGTTTAACTAAACCGCTACAACTGTGAAATATATCCAGATTGGGTTCTAAGAGACAATAATTTGACACAGCTTGATTAAGAGGTGGATTTATATATATTTGTCCTATGAGGCGGAATGTGAAATATATGTAAGTTTCTGGAGTTTAGCCTAGGAACGTGGAAGTTGATCATGTTGATTAACTCCATACAGTCAATAGACCCATTAATAACTTACCACAGAAACCAAATTACAACTATTTATATCTCAACCAGGTGCGCCACTGGTTCTGAAATACAAAAAAAAACATATTACCGATTTGTTTCTAAGCGGAAAAAATTCATCACTAGGTTTATTCTACTGTATAATAAATACGGGTCTTGATAATTATTTTGTTCCCTTTCCCCTTATATTTCAGATTCCTATAGAACAAATTTTGAACGAACCCTATACATTCAATTCATATCAGAACAAATTATGCTCATTACGGTTTTCAAGTTAGAATATGATGAATCCTAAATGCCCATTCCTAATACCTAATAATATGATTCTAAAAGTAAAAATAGAATTTTTCGTGTTTTACACGATAAAACAGTCATATTTACAATATTTATATTCCCTTGCAGCTAATGCGCTTAGAGCACGTTATGGTTTTCTCGAATTTATAAAATTACATTTCTGGCTATGAAGCGAGATTACAAAGAAATCCCTGACCTAACCTACAAACCTACATACTTACCATTCGTAAAAATTATTTTTTTTATTCGAGATGTCTGATAAAAACAGACAACTGGGAATTGTTTATTTAAATTAACAGAGAACGAGTCAACATTATGATGTATTATTGACCGAAATTCAAAACTCAACCACTTGCTTTATGTTAACATCTTCAAAAGAAATTGTGTTTGTGAACCAAGTACTCAATACTAAAATCCACTCACCAAATTAACAAAAAAAATATTAATGCTATTTTAAATACCCATCAAATAAACACTATTATACAGGGTTATTTTTTAACAGTGTTGGAAAAAGAGAACGCAGACCTTCTAGTCAGGAAGGGAGCTGAGAAAAGTGGACCAGTTCCCACATGTTGGTATTTCATAACACCATATTATCGGGGTGCTAATGAAACAGGCAGTTCAGAATATTCATAAACAGTCCATCCAAAAGCAGACAAAATCAACTACTAAATCTTAGCAGTAACGAACTAAAGACCGTAATAGAATTCTTTACGGAACAGTGCAGCCTTGGAACATTACTAAATCTCTTAGGAATATTTGGCGACTCTCTATATGAAGAGGAGGACGAAACTTATATTCCAATACTATGCCATTGTCAAATTAAATGCACCATTTCAGAAATAAATAGGTACTAACACCTTTAACACAAACTTCAATGTTTAAGGTTTAATTTAAATGTTTCGAGAATATTAACATTCAAAATAAACTTGATGTTGTCGACCTCCACGTTATCTCGGAACCCTAGGAAGACAAACAGGAAAACCAGGAGGTTTTGAGAGAGGTGTAGGTCGAAACACCAATTATAATGTTTTGGAGACGTACTCGAACACTATCCAAAGCACAATTAACAGAGCCTATAAGAAATTCTGCCCCTTGAAGCTGATCCAACACGATGAGACAACTACCGCATCCAAACAGTAGTATTGGCGCGGCAATCAAAGAGGCTGGGATGAAAATTACAATCTTGAAGATTGCATCAAAATTCTGCTGTTCTGACTCGGTCATCACAGACGTGGCCGACTGGGCAGAGGAAGAATACAACTTATCTGTCTATGAGTGGTAAACTGCCAAACACATTGTAGACGAAGACAAAAGTAAATGGGCAATATCTCCCCATTTAAATAGCCAGGACCTGACGGTATCTATCCAGCACTGCTCCAGTGAGGTCTGGAAGAACTCAGGCCACATCTGACATATCCACAAAAACAGTAGAGACGTAAACGTGGTCTTTATACCCAAACCCGCAAGGGTGGATTACACTATCCCAAAAACTTGCTGGCCGTTTAGACTGACATCGTTTTCCATGAAGACATTAGAAAAGCTATTCGAAAGGTATATAAGGGATGTAGTGATTAGTACGTCATTACACCCAAATCAACATGCACCCCAGGCAGATCTACTGATTCAGCCCTTCACCTAGTTGCTGGCCGGATAGAGAAATTCCTGGACAATAAGGAGTCCGCGTTGGGTGTTTTTATAGACATAGAAAGTGCTTTTGACAATACCATCTTCTCCAAGATAATGCACTCACTAACCAACAGGAATGTTCCACGAATGGTTAGTGGGTGGATACATAACATGCCCTCAAAGCTAGCAGTAAACACAAGTGTAAAGATGTGAATATAAGAGGCTTGTTTGCGAGGGGAGTCCACAGGAGAAAAAGTACTATCGTCTCTACAGTGAAACATGGTACTCAACACCCTCATTAGCCGCCTCAAAAATGACAGGCCATGAATTTACTCAGGGTTAGTACTAGAATGACGAAGCTTTGGTTAAAGTATCCATCAACACTGTGGTCACCTTAAGATGGATCGAAGCTCAGGGCACCTCGAAAGCTGTCTTACTGATTCACTAGCCAAGAAGGCAGCCAACTAAATACTTTTAGAACCTGGCCCTTCTACTGGACTGAAAACATCGGTAGTGACAAACCTAATTAAAGAGCATTCCCTTTTGGAATTCAAGGAAAGATATAACGAAACAAGAAACTGGAGAGTTAACAAGGAGCTCTCAAGTTATCCTGACAACACTACAACAAACACATACTAGACTATAACTAGACAGAACCTACTTCTGATCACAGGCATTCTGACTGGTTATTTCCAAGTACGGAAGCATCTCCATAGCATATATCTATCAGAATCCGCACTCTGCAAGGAGTGCGAACAAGATGATGACACTATCGAGTATATCCTCTATGATTGCCCGGCGCTCTCGACTCGACGCGAGTATCAGCTAACGCTGGTCGATATAAGAGAACCACCCCTTGGCGATGTTGTCAACTACATCAAATCTGTAGGCCGGCTCAGGAGCTAGGAGGATGCACAATAAGCCTGATTATGCCTAAGTGCCGTTACAGATAAGGTATAAGTAACTTGCATCTTTGTTGTATGCATGTTCTATTCATATTATAATAAATTTTATTAACTGATGAGTGTAAAGTGGTTGTCAACTTTATCCTAAGAACAGTAACGTTGGCTCACAAACTTGTACCTCAGTTAAATTCAACTTTTTAACGCACTACTGAATTTCAAAATATACAGGGTGGGCCACCGGTAACGCCTCGGTCTGTAAAGCAACAAATTAAAATTAATAGAAAAAATTTGATATCAATTTTTAAATAAGGCAATAAATAACTTAATGTTTATTCAGACCCCTTGTAAACTACCTCTTGACACCAATGTAAACTGGCCGGAATATTCAAAATTCCAAAAATATAATCGCTTTGTCAATCTGTCAAAGTCAATAAGACAACGGAGAGCGACGTTGTCAGATCACGGTTTACAATTACCTATCGACAGCAGAATGCAACCCGTACTACGCACTGATCTATATCAGTGGTACTACGCCTGTAATGAACATTTGCGTTTGGTAACTGGGTTGTTTTAGTGACGATGCAACGCTATCGCATCGCGACGCTTCTACTCTGAACAAGGCAGGGACGTGCGGTCCATGGAAGCGGAGAAAGCACCGCTTTCCTACACTTTGAGATTTAAAAATAGATATTAAATTAGGTACTATAAATGGGAACTTTTAATTGTGTAGATCCCATCATAAATTATTTGTAGATAAATGTAGAATTATTTATTGTAGATAAAAATGGATGACATGTCATGTATAGTAAAAATATAAAAA